TGGAGGTCATAGTGTGTCTTAGTTTCATTTCTGTTGCTGTAATCATACACACTGCCCAAAAGCAACTTAGAGAAGAAAGGTTTATTTGGCTTACAATTCCAGGTTATAGTCTGTTATTGAGAGGAAGTCCAGGCAAAAACTAAAGAGCAGCTGGTGACATCATGTCCTCAGTTAAGAGCAGAGAAACAAATGTTCCAGAGCTGTCTACTTGCCGCTGTGTAGGCTTAACAACTTCTTCACTCTTACAGAGTTCAGGATACAGCCTAGGGAATGGCACTACCCACATTAAGACTGGATTGACCATCATCATTTAACAGTTAAGACAACATAGACATGTTCTTAGGCTAGCCGATCTAGGCAGTTTCTCAACTGAGCTCTCTGCTCAAGTGATTCTAAGTTGTGGCTAGTTGACAGAGCTGACCATTATGTAGAGTCACTCTGATTTGTCCATTGAAGGTGGCTGTACCATTTGCATCCCACTTAGGAATGTTTGAGTTCCAGGTTCTCTACATTTTGCCAGTATATTATATCCTGTTGTGTGAACAGAAAATAGACACATAATTTACAGTAGTCTAAGGATGGGGTGTTGAATTAAGACTAAGAACATCTCCCTGAAGTGTATGTCCAGGTAATATGGAAATAGATCTCCGGGACTTTAGGGAGATTAGGTGAAATTGATATTCTAGCTAGCTTATATCCACTTGACACAGGCTAGCATCATTGAGAAGGGAGGACCTCATTTGAGAAAATGTCCCTACCAGATTGGCTTGTGATCAAGCCCGTGGGGCATCTTCTTGATAGATAGACATGGGAGGGCCTAACTCACTGTGGGTGGTGCCATTCCTGGGCACTCTGGGTTGTATAAGAAAGCAGCTTGAGCAAGCCATGAGGAAAACCCCTCTATGACCTCTGCATCAGCTCCTGCCTCCAGTTTCCTGCTTTGAATTCCTGTCCTGATTTCCCTCAGGATAGAATGTGACCTGAAAATTGTAAAAGGAAATGAACTCTTTCCCAACCCAAGTTTCTTTTGGTCATGGTATTTTATAACAGCATTATAAACCGTAATTTGTAGAACAGCTTGTAAAACAGAAATGGTTTCACGGTTTTCAGAAATCACCTGGGAAGTGGAATTGTTTTTGGGTACTGCCATAATTCTAGATGAGTCCTAAGTGGACTCAATTTCAAGATACCTCTCCCTGACAGCTAAGTTTTAAGATTTAAGCATGAATATGCCATATAAGTAAGTCTCGTGCGCTGATCTTACCACAGAGCTGTAAGCCGGTGAAAGTGTAAGGTTGGAGGTTAACATAGCAGCTGCGGGATACAAGAGGAATGTGAGTTTGCCAAGAGAGAGTAGAAAATGGAATGCGTTTGAGTTCGGGTTGGATAGGCAGGGGAAATGAGACAGTGGACTGGAAAAATGGAAGCGTTGAGAGACAGGTGTCTGTATGGGGCAGAAGACCGAAAGGCAAGTGAGAAAGTAAGACTGTTAGAAATAAAAGAAATTGAGTTCCTCGGGTGAAAGATAATAGAGGCAGAGTTGTTCTGGAGCTGATAAGATTCACATTGATGAAGTGGGAATGTAGATGAGGGATATATCCCGATGGACAGTAAAATTGCCACAAAGATAGCAGCTTTGGAATTGAGAAACAGGGAAGAGCCAGGTCCCTAATATATGTGAGAAGGAAAAGGGTGGGTAGGACCCTGAAACGGAGCTGTGCCTGTGTGCTGTGGCACCTCAGTCCCCCGTCGTCCCCCCCCCACCCCCCCCCCCCGGCAGACTTGATGTAAACTGTAGCTTTTGGCGGTCCTGCCAGTGTGTGTCTCTGATGGGACCGTGGGGGAATGTTGTGACACATCCACACTTTGTGCCCTCTGCTTTCACCTTGTCTGAAAGGACAACTTAAAGGCTGGCCAGCTGGTCCTTGCTTAAAAACACAAATTTTAAAATCTGAGACTGCAAACTGCTGATTTCTCTTATTTATTTTTTTACTTTGCTTCTAACGGTTATTTGGTTTCTTGATGCTTCGTGCTACATTGTTCTATCAGCATTTTTCTAGACAATGTAATTCAGTAGAAACATAATTTCTAGTTGTATTTTATTGCTTTAAAAAGTTGTCCTTATTCTCACAGAAGGTTGTGAAGTAGTTCTATATGTATTTTAACTTTCCCAAATGGACTTTGAGGTTGCTGTATTAGAGTTTTCTTTAGCTGTATAGAACAGAAAACCCTATTGCAGTGATTTTTAAAACTGAGGTTCATTTTTTTCTATGTGACCTGAATTCCAGGGTTATAGGATGTCTGCAGCTGCTCCACTGTTTTGTGAGTCCTAAGGACCCGCCCTCTGTCCTGGTGGACTTTTGTAAGCCCCTGTGTGCAGAATGACCGCTGTACCTCCAGGACTGATATTTCCACTTCAGGCAAGAGAAAGGGGAGACAGTAAGGCCTGTCTTGTATAAATTTCATGCTCCCTTTTGTAAGAAGAGGTCCGCATTGCCATTAGCAAGCTTCACATCTCACTGACTGGAATTGTCTCTTCTGGTCTTTCTAGTCACAAGGGAACTAAAGTGAGTCTGCCATGGGAGAGGAAAGGGCCGCTTACATGGCGTGCTGAAAATGGACATGAACTACACCATCTTAAGTTTTATTGCTGAGGCAAACAGTGTCCATCAGACGCTGCCTACAAACAAGGGGCACTTTAGCCCATCAGTTTTTCTTCTCTTACGTTATAGGACTAGATAGATGTACATGCAATCATCTTATGCTTTATTTGTTACTTGTTATTGTTATAAACAGGCTTAAGATGGACTTGTTTATTTTAAAGCTAAAATAATATTGTCACAGGTCCTAAGATAGGAATCTTTTCAAAAAATATAATGAAACAAATTTAGACTTTTTTGTGTAAATAAAACTTTTAATATATTTGGGAATGAGACCTTAAAAAATGCATTTTTTAAAATAAGCTGTGCATGGTGGTTCATACCTATAATCCCAGCACTTGGAAGGCTGGAGGCAGGAGGGTTACAAGTTGGGTATCCAGCCTGGGCTAATTTAAAGGTGTGTGTGTGCGTGCGTGCGTGCGTGTGTGTGTGTGTGTGTGTGTGTGTGCATGTATATACTAACATGCATATCTGTATACATATTTTAAATCTGCATTTTAAGCTTTAATATAGTGTCTTCATTGTTGACTTTTTTGAATATTTTTATTTTAAATATTTAGATTTTGTAGAAATAAATTAAGATTATAATTTTTATCCTTGAGGGATTTAAAATGAGTGGGGACTTAATTACATATTTGACATCAGCAAACAATAAAAAGTGTAATGTGATCAAGTATCAAAAGTTGAATTTAAGAAGAAAGGTAACTGTTGAGTGTGGTTACTTCCATAGCAGTCCCTGACAGGCTCCGTGAGAGTATGGAGTCAAATGTGTTAAGATCCTTATTAAACACTATAGCCCCCAGGTGCAAAGATGGGCCCTGTCTGCACACCCCACCTTGTTGAGCTGTGTGCAGTTTCTTGAATGTTCTTTGTATTGATGTTGCCATACCTTTAGCATATTTTGTTACCCGTGAATGAAAATGTATTGCATAACTCCTTTTAAATGTTGTTTTTAAATTTTTATAATATTTATTGTTCATGTAAAATAGTACTATATGATACATTGTATGGTATAGGTGCCTCTCATACCCTGAAATTCTAGGGCCTTCTACACTAACGGAACAAAAGCTGCACTAACCAGCTTTAAAACCTGGGCGGACTCTGAATTGAATGCTAGCCTTTATAAGGAGATTGTCAATGATGCTTTGTGGCTGTAGAGCATGTGCACAAACCAGCCCCTGACACAGCCGTTGGTAGTCACTGCTTTAGTGAGTTTACTGAACCATGAGGTTTATATCAATGCCCTCCCCAATCAAGCAATATTCTTGTCCAAAACCTACTCATTCATGTAGAATATTAACCAACCCACTAGTGAGACACTAAAAAGAAAAAATTCACAAAGAATAATCATTAAGTCTTAGTTATTTTGTTGAGTTAGCATGAGCTGTTTGGAGTGCCAGTAAGCATTATGTCTCTGTGTGCCATAGTCAGAGAACCTTTGCAGTGCTTTTTGTCTGGCTGTTTGTTTATTGGCCTGGCAGTTTACTCTTTCAGGATTTAGCTCAAATGCACGTATATTCCTAGGGGACCTGGTTTGGGGGAGGGGCCGTTTGCAGCGGGAAGACTAGGTTCCTGCCAGACTGGTAAGGGCATTGAGAACTTGCATCTGAATTAAAAGAGGTTTAGAAAGGGCTAGAATATAGCTCAGTGGAACCGCAACCTGGTGTGCACAGGGTCTGATTCAGTCCTTGGAGTTGTATAAAAAAGCTCCCATCATGTGCCTTTACCTAAGTTCTCCCAGAATTTTCTGGTGTGTGTGGGGAGTGTCACCACATGACCCATTTATTCACTTGCATGTTACGTGGCAAGCTTATGAGCCACATGCACGTGTGCCGAATTTACCTTTGAGTCACTGTGACGGATGTAGCAGCTTTTCATAGTGGAAAGTTCTTTTACATTTTTTTACACTTACTTATTTTGTGTGTATATGTGTTTATTTGGGTGCTCGTGTGCAATGGCATGTATGTGGATTTTAAAGTCAACTTATGGGGAGTTGGGATCGAACTCATATCACCAGGCTCTGAGGCAAGCACCTTCACCTGTTGAGCCATCTCGCCAGCATGCACTCGGTGAATGTTCTTACATGAATAAGTAACTGAACGGACAGATGAATGGATAAAGGGAAGGAATTCACCCAGATCATGAATACTGGGAAAGTCTATGAAGACTTGAGTGTCGAACATACTTAACTCTTAAAGAGCAGGGTCTGCACTTTTCCTGTCTTTAGAAACCGTTGCAGAGGCCACCCAGGACCTGCTGATGATTGAAGCTGCAGTAAATACTGTAGGTATAAACCAAACGCCTGGTTTCCAAACATGCTGTGCTTTTATTTTTTTCTAGTGCTTCCACTTCTCATTCAGAGAACTCGGTGCATACGAAATCGGCTTCTGCTGTCTCTTCAGAGTCCATTTCGACTTCTGCGGACAACTTTTCCCCCGATCTGAGGGTACGTATGCTACACGGACATACCGAGCACAGCCGCACTGTTCAGAGTCTGGCCAGCACTGTCGGTAAAACCGTTAGCAGTTAAGTACGCAATGGCAGAGAGTTCTCAAAGCCCTCAGACTGTTTCTTTATTTCTTTTTGAATTTTTTTCTTATTTTACATATTAATCCCAGTTCCCTCTCCTTCCCATCCTCCCATGCTCTCCCCACAAACTCCCCCATCCACTCCCCAGAGAGGGTGAGGCCTTCCAGGAGGGATCATCAAAGGCTGTCAATCATTTGGGGTAGGTCCTAGGCCCTCCCGCGTAAGACCTCAGACTTCATAAATTATCCCACACCTGGCCAGCAAGTTTGAATGCTTACTTACTATTTTAAAAAAGTGTATGTTAGTACTTGTAAAAGCAGTCTTTAGTCTGTTAAAATCTAGCAGAGAGTCGGTGAAAGAGTGCCTCAGCAGTAGAGTAAATGAACTTCCCAGCAAGAGTGAGCGAAGTGGGCAGCAGAGACAGCTCCCTTCTTCCTCTTCCGGGTCCTCTCATGTGGACACCACCAGACGGTGTGGCTCTGACACAGGCGGGGTTTCCCACGTCAGCGATATAATCAAACCCCTCACGGGAGTGCCCAGCTGCTTGGGTTTTAGTTGATTACAGATGTAGACGAGTTGACAACCGAGTCTAACGTCCACACCACTCCTCTAGAGTCCAATTCTACAGTTTAGTTACATAAGCACCAGGTGATGGACCATCCTTATACATCTCAGTACATTGTGAAAACATTCCTGGATTTTTCCCGTATGCATTAGCCACACATCAGTGATAGCAAGTTTGTGGATTCATCTGCTTTTCTTCAGCCACTTGCCTATGAGTAATAAAAAATTATATTTTGTGTATGGTATTACTCTAACCCTTCAGAGTTTCCTTTTAAACAGTAGACATTTCATTTTCATGGTTCTAGAAGATGGGAAGTGTAGGTTCAATGCTAAAGACCAGTGTGTGCAAGCATATTCTACCTAGTGTTGTATGTTGTGTGGGACGATCTAAGAGAGGTTACTCTAGAATGTAGTAAGAGAGTTTTTTCTGTGAGCTACCACCTTTGTACCACATTAGCTAATAAGCTAGTAACCTACTCGGTTTTAGGTGGTATATTTTTATAGAATTTAATGGAGGATTCCCAGAAAGTAACTTGAGAAGAGCCAAATCCTCAGGAGTGATAAACAGATAAGAGCCTAACCAATGATATAGTTAAAAATTATAATTTTTTTATCTACCATGAAGAATTAAGCATTAATTAGATAATCAGGAAAAAAGAACATCCTCCATATAGCGAATAGCTAATACCTCTGGAAATTTAAATAGCATTGGCTTAGTAATTTATGCCCTGATTGCAATTGATTTTATATCAGAAGTTTGGCTTTTTCAAAATGTTTTTTCCATATGGGGATTATTAATAGTTATTCTCTCTATTAGGGAAAAACAAAAAACCTTTCCCAAGAAGGGACATTTAAATGTTGACTTACTCCCATTATGAGGGGGGAAACATTTAAACAAAAGTCAAGCAAACAAATGTTAACAAAATTCTAAGTTGTGGGCTGGCCGTATCGACTCATGCTGCAGTAGCGGAGCCCGGCCATCACTCTGACACTGAGGTGCAGCCACTGTTCCACACTGGCTGTCCTTCGCTGAAAGAGCTGACAGCGAGCAGAGCAACCAGAGAGCTGAGTTCCAGCCGACAGTAATTTGTCAATCTTTTGGAATAATTCTATTCACCTACGAAATGAAGATACTTTTATGGTATTTTAGGATTTATTGTGAAAATATGCAGTTTTTCACATGAATGTAAGATTTTATAATTCTTAGGCACTCAGGAAATACTTGTAGAAAATGGCAGCTTCAATAGTATATGTGGCAATATTGCAGTTTATATAATTTGATTTAAAGTAGTATGTAAGATTGCAATTCATATGAAAGCGAACCATCTGAATGAAATTTGAATGGAAAAAATAGCCTTCGATTAAAAAAATGTTTCTTTCTTACACCCGCAATCTAGGTCCTGAGGGAGTCAAACAAATTAGCAGAAATGGAGGAACCGACCCTGCTTCCAGGAGAAAACATTAAAGACATGGGTCTGTAACGGCATTTTAAAATTTGTCTCTTTCTGACTATACATAGTCGCTCATTCTCCTGCAGCTCCCAGTCTGTGTACTGTAAACCTAGATTCAGAGCTGTTGGGAGTGTCCTGTCTCACTGCTGGGAAATACATAAACTTAATGTTATTCTTTTTAAATTGTTGCTGAAATATGTGCAGGAAAGTTGAATTATTTTGAATTACTGCATCCAGATAGATACTGGGTTGACCAGCTAGACACATTGAACATGTGAATTTTTTGTTACTATTAAAGTACAGCCTATCATTTGTTCCTTCTTATAATTTACTTCCTTAGATAAGCTCAGGTTAAGTTTTGGATGGTCTTTCATGTCCATTGCAGGACAGGAATTGTGTGCAGACATGGTCTGCTGCCCAATGCAAGCCTCACCATTTGCACTTTGCCCTGAGACTAAGCAGAAAAGTCGTACTTTGCTCTTGTCCTGTTATGCTTGCTCAGAAAACCAACATGCATAGCCTTTGAAGAGCAATATGCTGGGAGGATGAAGACAATGTTTTCTTTGCTGAAGTCAGCACCATCTTTCCTATCACAGGCAGCCCTCCCCTTTTAAAGGCAATGCTCCAGTTTAAAACCCGAGTGCCAGAGCAACTGCCATCAGATGGGCCAGTTCCCTCTCCCATGCTCCCTACAGACCCCATCCCATCCCCCATCCACTCCCCAGGGAGTGTAAGGCCTCTCTTGAGGCATCATCAAAGTCCTTCAAGTCACTTGTGACAGCGCCTAGGCCCTCCCCCACGTGTCTAGGCAGAGAGCTTTGATCTACACTGAATTGGTTCTGTGAGAGGGGCCTGGGGAGGGGAAGGGTGTGGGGGACACCCTGGGGAGCCAGGCCCAACACTTGTCCCGCTTCAGTATGGGCTGTGCTTTCTGCAGGGCGGTCAGTGTCTCCTGTTGCGAGGCTGCTTTGTTAACTCCCACCCCATCCCACTACGCGCCACTGCCAAGACCCCTTGTCTGCACGTCTGTCTGCACGTCTGCCTGCTGGACCACTTCCTGGCCCGCGGCTGAGGGACTTGTCCTTCTCAGCAGTACTTCCTGGGTCTTTGTTTTGTGTAGACCAGGCTGGCCTCAAACTCATGGAGATCTCTCCATGGAGATCATGGAGATCCGCTTGTCTCTGCCTCCAAGTGCGGATTCAGGCCAGCGTACCCTGCTTCTCTCTGTGTGATTTGAACAGGCTCATTCATTCTTCATGTTGGTATCACTTACAGTACCTGTTAAGATGAGGGAATCTAGGGTCCCTCACTGCCACTTGGCAGCATCACAAAGATTGCCCAATATAACACAACAATGTTCAGCATCATTGTCACACAGTTGATCAGAGCATAAAGTTACTAGACAAAAGTCAAAGGTTGGGACAAATGTGTATGTCCTTTATATTAAAAAGACTTTAGATTTTACATTGACTTAATATAAATCTATGGTTTAGTAAAATTAGGGGCAGGAGAGGGGCCTCAGTGGTAAAGGTGATTGTTACAAAAACTGACATCATGAGCCATGGCGTATAAACAACCATATACATGTACAAATAAATGTAATTAAAAGCAAAAATGGTAGGCAAGGCATTACATGAATGCTGTAGGTATTAATAGTCTAAGAGTATTATGGCCTGGTATTCCCACACAATTATTCAGCCTTTAAAGTGAGGGTCAGATACTAAACAACAGTGGATTAGCTTTGTGAAGAGGTACTCTAATGTTCATGGCAAGAAGTGTCAGTAGAACTGAGTCCAAGTCAAATCACTTCATACACTTTAAAGACTGCGCGGCCATTGTTGGCTGGTTCTGCCCTTTACTCCGCGCAGGGTGCTGTCAGGGCCTCCTTTCTCCGCGGTGTGAACCTGCTCAAACCATCTCTCAGAGCGTGCAGTGAGAGCGTGTAGAACGAAGCAGAGACAGGTGGCATTGGTGTAGACCTCTGTATTTGCACAGTCCTTACAGCTTTAGAAGCATATGCCTGGGTCTTCTCTCCTTAACTCATAATGAAGGAATGCAGGAAAGGCATCGCCCTGTGGTGGCTATAGGGTAAGAATGCTGATGCGTTTCCTGTGTAAGAAACTGGATCCGATGTCACCCAGAACCATTTCAGTGGCACCGATAAACTTTCTTAGTTAAACCACAAAGTCATAAGGGAAACAAAATCTATCTTTATATAGGGGTGGGTTTATTGATTTAAGAAGTTTCCCTCTAAATGGAACATGCATTGGGAATTAAGAAAATGTAGCTTATGCTTCTGAAGAAGCTGATTTGAAGTTTAGAAACAGTTGCTAAGAGATTGCTCTCATTTCAAATCCCATACAAAGCAATCAGTCCTTCAGATTGATTAATATGAAGCAAAGTCAGAAGTTTCAGTGTCTTACAGATTGTATAGATCTGTATCTCCCCCAAAGCACCCTGGTGAAGTTTGTAGAATGCTTTGGCTCGACAGAATTGTTCTGCATTTCCTTCCAGGAATCTGATGTTTTGCTCTAATAGTGGCATGCAGAGAATTTATAATATTTTAAGAAGAAAAAAAAACCCAAAACACCTGTCTTGGGCATTATGAAGTCTGCCATGGTAACTGTATTTTGAACTAGTGGTTGTACTTACCATGTTTAATCAGGTAGTGCATGTTTTTAGAAGGATAATGCCATATAGATCCACCATTTAGCATTTAATAAAGCATTGACTATGTTTATTTCTAAGATTTGTTGTCCGTAACTTGGTCAGGGATATACTGTGCTCTTTTAAAAATATCTTATTCCAAAGAGGCCCAGGTGCTGGCTCTGTAGTGAGGGGCTCTTCTAGCAGAAGTTGGGATTTGATGGCCAGCACGGTCTGGGCATCAGGCTTGCATACACACACTGCACATACATATATGCGGGTAAAACACGGATAAAGCATAGAAAAATAACATTGAAAGAAATGTTACTCTGCCTGCAGTTTTAATGGCTCAGGCATACAGTCAGTTCAGTACTCCCTGGTGTTGTGTGTGTCGTGGCCATTTTATTTCTAGAGAAATGGCGCACACTGAACCGTGCCTCTGAAGACAGAGCAGCGGGTGAGGCAGCCTGGGGGGGGGGGGGAGACGGGTGGTGGAGATGGGTGCTGCTCCTGTGTCCGTCTGCTGCCAGCGCGGCCTCTGACCTGCTTCCCTCAGTGGGGACAGCAGCCGTCTTAGCGGCCTCCGTCTCTGCAGAGGCCCTCGCCTTTTTGTTTGTTCTATAGTCCTTGGAGTAAGACAATTGGAAACATGGATTGGGCTTCTGAAGGCTTTTTTCTTCTTCTTCATCTTTCTGTGGTTTATTTTCTCATAATTAGACAGGTAGTCAAAATAATTTTATAAAATGTGTAAGCTGTTTTTAATAGCGCATAGTGTCCAGTAAACTATGGCTTTTTTGTCTCCAGCCAAAGATGTGACTTACATATGTCCCTTCACTGGTGCTGTCCGAGGAACCCTAACTGTCACAAACTACAGATTGTATTTCAAGAGCATGGAGCGGGTGAGACTTACTGAGTTTGGCTTTGCCTGTACATTTGCTTGGTGTTTGGATGGGTTTGCTCACTTCCTTAGTTTTTATTATTGGGACCATGTAACCATGGCTGTCCTTGAACATGGTATGTAGATCAGGCTGTCCTCAAAGATCTGCCTGTCTTAGCCTACAAGTGCTGGGGCTAAGGGTGTACCCGACCCTAGCCAGCTAATTCTGGGTAATTTTTGACTCAAGAATTTCTGGTTAAGATTTTAACAGTTTGGGGAGGGGGAGTGTTGGAGATTGACTGAACCCTGCCCTGTTCGTGTCTTTAAAGCTCTTCACATTTTTTTAGACGTTGTGTGCTTTCTTTTCATCTTTCAGGATCCCCCATTTGTTCTAGATGCTTCTCTTGGAGTGATAAGTAGAGTAGAAAAAATTGGTGGTGCATCTAGCCGAGGTGAAAACTCTTATGGCCTGGAGACCGTGTGCAAGGTAAACTTTACAATACTTGTGGTTCTATTTACTTTGGAAAGCTATTCAGTACAACCTCTACTTGGAAACTGGTACAAGTAAGTGGACTGCACACTAGAGACGTGTCCTCATGGGAGCAAACGTGTTCAGCTGTTCACACACACAGCACTTACTTAATACCAGGCCCTACTCATCACCAGGTGCACGTCCACTAGTTTGCTTAGGTTTTTTCTGTTTTGTTACTGAGACAGAGAAAGGCACATGTCTATACAGCTAAGTGTTGGTGTCACACGCGTGAGCCAGCATCGCCTGGCTTGTGCACGCTACAGTTTCAAAGTACATCAGTTCTGTCTCTCAGCGCTCCAAGTAAAAGAGACTGTGTGTGTCATCCAGACTGCTTGTGCATTAATCTTAGAAGTTTGCTGAGTCTGATGTTAATGCCTTAGTAACTGATATTTTCTTCACTGATGCCAAATGAGCTCCATGAGTGTAATGGCTGTCATCTGTGCCATTTCTCTTCAGTGATAAACGGGGAAAAGGCTGACCTTGTGATATCATTTTAGATATCTACCATTATGAATTATAGCTGGGTCTCTGCTGGGGAGAGGTTAGCCAGAGGGGTGATCTGAGTGTCTTTACTACTTAGAGATGGTTACTGCAGAACACGAGAACACAGTTCTCAGCTTCAGCGTACACGTGTGTATTTTCACACGATGGTTTGCTCAGATTTGCAGTAAGCTAATGGAAGCATGGTCTTTCATAATTGCCAAGAGTGTGCTTCCCCAGGAACAGACAGGCACGTGCGCGTCTTTCTGGTGTCAGAATTATTGAGTAGCAGCAAATTGACAGCAGTTAGTGGTTTCATAGACCACAGCGTGTCATGCAGTCCTAACTACCCTTGTAGCCTGGCTGAAGACTCTGTTACTCCAGTCTTAATTGCTAAAATGAACTCTGAGGACACACAGTGTTTCTAGATAATGGTTGTCCTGTGTATATAGTAGAAAATGAACACACATTGAAGAGGCTGTGGTGGAGCTCAGGAGGTTTCAGAAGCAGGCTGAGAGAGAGTCTGTGTCCTAGACAGTGAGTCAGACCAGTGCGTAGGAAGCAACGAATGAGCAGGTAGACACAGACGGGCGCGCACGGTCAGGAATTTGAGTGGGTTAGCCAGCCAGAGCCCCAGGGGCAGGTGGGAGCTTGGTTCTTGACACACCAGGTTCCAGATGATGTGAGAGTCACGAGGTGAGGGGAGGGCCGTGTCTTTTCCACAGTCTGCTGTGGCTAGTAAAGTCTTGGCCTTGTTTCCCTGATAGGATTTTAATATGCCGTATGCCCGTACAGTCTCAATTCACCCCCAGTAAACTTAATAGGCTGGCACCCTTTTTCTAAGAAACGAATCATTTGTCAGTCTGTGTTGGGTGAGTGATGTATTTGATACAAGGTGCCATTTCTGGGTCCTCCTGGGGGTTGTAGTCACTTTTCTTCCTCATAATGGAGTATTGCTTGTAATGGACACTGCTTGTAAAAATGGAGTCTTTAGGGCAAGGCTCAGGATTATAAACAAACAACTATTTTATTATTGATACACTTTTATTCAATATTGTACAATATGGGATAACATGGTCTAGGTCATAACCTGATCTCAAGAGTAATGAGACTGCAGCATAGTACATTCAGCTTCTGCCTAGGTTAAAATACTTAAAAATAGATACTTCTGGATCATTTTTTAGTGTCAATTTCTTTTACTAAATGCTATGAGGTAGCATAAAGTAGACTACAAATGTCATTCTGCAAGAGCTTGGAAAATAGCCGAGGACACATGCAGAAAGAGTCCCTGAGATCCCAGTGTAGAGCTGGGTCAGGGCTGAGCTAGCTCTTAAGGATCCGTGAAGTAGCCAGGCATTGGTGGCACACGCCTTTAATCCCAGCACTCGGGAGGCTGAGGCAGAGGCAGGTGGATCTCTGAGTTCGAGGCCAGCCTGGTCTACAGAGCGAGTTCCAGGACAGGCTCCAAAACAATACAGAGAACCCCTATCTGGAAAAAAAGAATCCCCGAAGTGGAAGCACTTCAGGCAGTTTGGTCCTGTCTGTGTAGCAGAGGGGACAGACTCAGGGCGAGCTCCTGGAAGCAGGAAGTGATCTCCGTTTGGGATGGAAATGTCATAACAGCTGATCGTGGTTTTTATTTTTACAAACCAGGTTCTGACAAGCGTTTTACCTACTGAACCATCTCTCCTGCCTAGGAAAGGACACGTGTTGATAGTGTGTATTCATCAGTCATTTATGTCCGTCCCCTTTGGCCCTGCTGAGCCTAGGTGCACAGGTCTAGAGTCTGCTGTGTAGTGAAGTACTTTGTGTTTGTTCAAACCACTGTTATTTTCTTGTGTCCAGGAACTGTTATTTTGTATCCTATATGTAGAGGTTTACCTTTACCCAACATTTCCAAGTAATCTCATTTGTTCACTAAAAAGGAACAAAGTGATTTAATTGGATACTGTATTTTTTCTAGGATATCAGGAATTTGCGATTTGCTCATAAACCAGAGGGGCGAACAAGAAGATCCATATTTGAGAATCTAATGAAATACGCATTTCCTGTGTCTAATGGCTTGGTAAAGTTTCTCTCTAACCTGTAATGTGGTCAAACTCAACTAGGTTGTCCAGATCCTCCCCTCGTGTTCCTGCTGTGGCGGGTAGCCAGGGTTAGCTTGTGCCGAGTCAATTTCAGTAATGGCGTTCTGTGATTATGTTGATTTGGGGGAGGGGAAACTGGAGATGAAACCCAGGGCTTCTCACATGCTAGGCAGTGCTGGACCACAGACTGGGTTTGTCTATTTGCCTTTATTTGAGGCAGGGTCTTTTGAAGTTGTGTGGGCTGGCTACTCCTGTCCCAGGTTCAGGAAGCCTGGACTACAGCCTGTGCCATCATCTCAGCTTAGTTAGGCTGTCTGTCCCTGTGAAGACACCATGACCACAGCCACCCACCCTTCCTTTCTGCCTGCCTGCCTGCCTGCCTGCCTGCCTGCCTGCCTGCCTGCCTGCCTGCCTCCCTCCCTTCCTCCCTCCCTCTTTCTCTTTCTTTCTTTGAGACAGGGTTTCTTCTCTGTATAACAGTCCTGGCTTTCCTGGCACTCACTTTGTAGACCAGGCTGGCCTCGAACTCAGAGATCCATCTGCCTCAGCCTCCTGAGTTCTTGGATTAAAGGTGTGGGCCACCATCATTACCCTGCTGACTATGGCAGCTGTGTGTGAAGGAAAACATTCCACTGTGGTGGCTCACAGTTCAGAGGGTCAGTCCATTGTCATTGTGGTCGTCTGGACTCACAGGCAACAAGAAGTGCATTTCTTGGTTCAGCTGCATTTTTTCTTAAACTCCACAGACTTCTAGTTGCATGGTAAAAAAGCTTTACACCAAAGTATAAAAAAGGTTCCTTAGTGTGTTAGAACACACAGAATGTATTTCAGAGCTTCTCAGCTGCCACCGCCTGGTGTTGGGCCAGTTATTTCTGTTGGAAAGTGCATTTTTGGAGATGTCATTTATTACTTAGAATTAAACCTACAAAAACTATCAAAATATTTAAAGGTAATAGGTTAGCATTTGGTAAATTTTATGAGTGGGTCTTTGAGCTTTTCTGTACTTTTTAGAGCATATAAAATGCTTAGTGTTGTAAGTTAAACAGAAATTTTAGTTATAAAACTAAAACTATTTTAAAGGGGGAATGTAAAATACTCTTGCATGTAAGCAACTAAAACATAAGTAGTTATAGCTCTTTAAGGATGTATTTCTGATTGATTACTTTCTTAAATATCTTTTTTTAACTTTATTTTGTAGCCTCTTTTTGCTTTTGAGTATAAAGAAGTATTCCCTGAAAACGGGTGGAAATTGTATGACCCCCTCCTAGAGTATCGGAGGCAGGTACGTGCTTTTCTCTCCCAGCTTTCATGATCTGTATTATTTTCATTACAAACAGACAGGGCAGCGTAAGGAGTTCTTTCGGGTTCTTTTGGTTTAAGTGAAGGCCAACCCTGGTTTGCTTGGCTTCTTTTCTTTTCCTTTGAGTTGCTTTCCAGAATACATTAGTGATTTACAAATCTTTACTTATCTAGGAGTTTATAGATATCAATTTGTCTAAAAAATGCTTGCTCAGTAGAAAGATGTAAATGGGATCAGTATATACAAAATGTAATGTTCTTATATGCCTTAATATCATTTAGTTTTTTATTAGGCATCCTATAAATTAATTAGGAAAATAATGACTGTACTGCTTCTAATTTAGCTTTGTAAAATGTTGGGCTTTCCTCTTCACAGAGGATAGAGTGTAATACTATCGATTTAATGGTCAGAACCCATTCATTTTAACATTTGTGTGTGCGTGTGTGCACGCACGCGTGTGTGTGCACACGTGTGTATTTGCTTTCGTGTTTCCTGTGCACTAGGGATTGAATTCATGGCCTCATACGTGTGAGGCAAATGTTCTACTACTGCGCTATGTCTCCCCTTTACATGGAGATCAGAGTTTCGTCCCTGTTGATAGCTTCTCAGATATTTCCCACTCAGCTTTGAACCCTTTAAACTTGAAGGGTGTTTATCAGATGCCATGTGTGTCCTTTCTGTTTTCCTCTACTGGAGTCATGTGTTGTCTCTTTGGTATTGCTATTGCTTGAGCTCCAGTAGGGAAGGCGCTGGCCAGTTTTTTCACTGCTGTGTTATCAGGATGTAGCAATGCCTGGCATGTCATAGACAGGTGTCTGTTGAATGATTGAATGCATGAGGGCTAAGGGAAGAATTTGCTTGCAGTGTTTACTGTCTTTGTTAACTAAACAGTGTTTGTGTACAGGTTTTATTTACTAAACCACGTGGTTGGTACTTAAGCACATGATGTAAAGGTACTAAATACTGTCTGCAAAGCAAGAGTAAACTGAGGCATCGGATCATTAAGTAATCTGTCTGTGGTAACATAGTTATTAATGTGGAAGTTAGGATTTGAATTTGCAGAATCATGTTTCAGTAGGTAAATTAGTATTAGTCAGTCAGATTCCAACCTGCAGAGTGAACCTCAAAGGTGGCCGTAAAGAAGCTTGCACTTAGACACGGAGAACTGCATAGAACAGCAGACAGACACACTTAGATGTGGAGAACTACATAGGACAGCAGACAGACAGACTTAGACATGGAGAACTGCATAGGACAGCAGACCCGCACAGGCTTACAAGGAGCTACAAGAAATGCTAGGCACACAAGCCTGAAGATGTGAGTTTAATCCCCCCCCCCCCCCCCCCCCAGTGCACATCAGGAAGGAAAATAAACCAGCTGCACACAGTTGTTCTCTGGTCCTGGCAGGTGGGCTGTGGTACCTGCCATTACCTTTCTTTGTGCCCATTTCCCACCAAAATAATAAATGATTTCTTTTTATTGCTATCTCTTAAAGAAAAAGTTTGGTTATCAGTTTCCAAGGTTGTGGAAATACACAGCATATGGCAATAGGTAATTCAGGTCTCCATCAGACTCTGCTGGGGACAACCCTGACATCCAGGCTTACAGGACCACTGACTCTGAAAGCTGGTTGCCTGCATCTGTAATTTCTCTATGTGCTACTTCATTTCTTTCCTAATAGCAGCTCTGGGTGTTTTCCCAGTGCTTGTGTGTTCATCTTGTGAGAATATTATATATTCTACCTACTGGGTAGATAGAATATGCAATATTCTACATCTACATTCATACATCTGTGGGTAGTCAGGAAGGTGAGTTTTCATTTAGCTATATAATTTTGGTATGTAAAAAATATACTGGGACATGCTTCATACCTAGGTCTATTTGTCCCATGAGGATTATAGACACTTAAAAGCCTGCTTTGTTCCTTTTGCTCAGGCTCTGCACACAGTTAGCTCACTTTCACCTCAGAGCAAGTTCAGATTAGACTAAAGGCTTTTTGTAAATAGACCATAAGTTTAAAACTTTACAGCTATATACAAGGTCAGGGTCACAGATGTCTGGCCAGGTTGCTGTGCAGGGCACCCTCGGAAAGGCATGCTGGTTCTTTGCTTGCCAATCTGTTAAAAATGGGCCTGAGTCCCAGGGCTTGTCACTGAGCACTGTGCTCCCCGCTCCCCCAATCTGGCCCTGTGGTCTGGGTCCTGTGGTCTTGGCGCCTTGTGTTGCCATGCAGTGGCTCAGCTCCCTATTGCTTACACTAGGAATGTGTTTTTGACCAATGAGAGGTAACTTTTGCAAATTTTTTTAAAAAATTGCTTCAAGGCTCCTGTAAGCAGAAGAGTTTTTAGAATAGAAGAAGCTGGAGGAATTGGAAATAGGACCGGACAATTAGAATAGAAACAGAAGACTAAAGAGAACATAAAAAGACTGATTCAGAAAAGCACACAATGAAAGAATTCTTCCGCCCTCAGATGTCCTAAGCCCTCTGCTTGCTGTTACGTCCATTCTGAGCCCTGAGAAGAGGGTCTTGGGGCCGGACCCCAAAGGCTCGCGTACGGCAAGTTGTTTTTCAGAAGTGAAAGCGGAGGCTACAGGGTGGTGTGACCTGAGTGGACAGTGAAATGTGCTCGCTTAACTCTATCAGTAATTATACCCTGCAGAAATGGAAGGGAAATAAAACCATCTCCTGACAGAGAAGGTTCTAGAGGATGTATACCTATGTGTATACCACGACAAAGTCAGTTACCTTATTACTACCTGAGATGGCTCTTTTCAGAGTAGGACACTGTTGCCTTCCCCCAGCCAGGCTCACACCCACTCATAGCATTTAATGAATTAATAGGCTATAAACATTACATCTGATCCCCCATTAAAATATGTGTCTTCCTAGAAGCTTGGCCACATCAAATTTGCGAACTGGAGATGGGGGAGGTTGGCTTACTGCCCTGGCATCTGTTTTAGCTGACAGCTTCTCTCTCGTTTCATGTCATGTGTAGGGAATTCCAAACGAGAGCTGGAGGATAACAAAGATAAATGAACGCTATGAGCTTTGTGACACATACCCTGCCCTCCTGGCTGTCCCAGCAAACATCCCTGATGAGGAGCTTAGGAGAGTGGCGTCTTTCAGGTCACGGGGCCGGATCCCGGTAAGTAGGCCGGGTAGGTATTTTAGTACAGGGTGATAATGGTCATAGCATTTATATGAGGATGCCAGAGACTAAATTAAGCTGGGCATTGGTTACCATTCTGTATCTTATATATTCTTTAGTCATGGCATAAATGCTATTTTCCTATTGAGTCCACGAAAGTAGAAGACTTTACAAATTAATGATGTATGGCTACACCTCAAAAGAACAGATGAAATAATTTTAGGGGCAGAAGCGTAGAATCTGAGTACTTTACAGTTCTACTGATATAGCAATAAAAACAAAAAGACGACAAAACAAAAAAAACAAGCAGGGTTGTTAAGCTCTGTTTTAGTGTACTTTTTCTAAGACAAGAGTTTCCAATACTTTTACAGCAGTGTCTGGTTAGGAAGTAGACGCTTCTCTACAAGCAGGGCCGCAATGTGACCGTGTCCCTGCCTTTAGGTTTTATCGTGGATCCACCCTGAAAGCCAGGCCACACTCACCCGCTGCAGTCAGCCCCTGGTGGGCGTGGGCGGGAAGCGCAGCAAAGAGGACGAGAAGCTCCTGCAGGCCATTGTGGACTCCAACGCCCAGTCACACAAGGCGTTCATATTCGATGCTCGGCCAAGCGTCAACGCCGTTGCCAACAAGGTGAGGTTTGTCTCTGGTTTTGTTTCTTACTTTTCGTAATTATTTGTCACTCTGATCTCTGATGTTACTAAAGCCAGCTGAATTTGTCTGTACTGTTGCCTGGTAAAAAGTGGTCAGGCCCTGGGGAGGCAGAGAGAGGACAAACTACATGGAGGTGATGATGATGATTTCCAAAACTGCATTTCATCTGTATTGTAGAAAAACCAGTTAATGCAGTTAGCCAAGTGAATGAAGAAAATGCTTTAAAACCCCCAACGTGCACCGTCACTAGGATTTGCTTGTATTTCCAGATCTATGTAGCTCTCCATAAATATTTGAAGTAATGCCGAATAATTTTTTGTAAGTTAACAGATTTTTTGTCAGTGAAAATTTATGTCATCTTAATGTCTGGTAATCACAGCAGACATTAGACTGTTTTGTCCTCTCATTGTGAGAGGCTTGAGTGACCATCCTTAACTCTTGGAGGATATTCTTCAATCCGCATCTGCATAGCCTGTTGGAGGCACTGTGAGCCCCGGTCGTCCTTTGCAAATGACCCTTTTAAGGAGGTGCACGCAAAGCATAGTCACTTGTTTATCACCTTGTGTTTGTTAGTTACTGATAACCTTTATCAGTAAAAGTTATAACCAAGTTCATCAGAAAAGATTTTGTAATGCAAAATTCTTCATTCGGTGAGTATTTAATAATTTGAATGCTCAAAATTACAGGCAGTTGTCAAAAGCAGAGTCACAGCATACTGTGAATGTCAAGCAGGCACCATGCACAGACACACTTACCATACTTTTACATTACACTGCTCATCACTTGCCTATACTTGGTATTTTGAGACTCGGTGAAGTAGTTAATTACCAAGTTTAGTTTTAAATGATTTTCGTCTTTTGTTTTACTATCTAATTGCCATTTAAAAAACACTTAACGGAGATACAACTCACTGTACCGTGAGAGCGTATCCGCTCCTCTAGTGTGCTCACGGCCCACTCATGGCTATGAGTTCCGCATCATGCCCATCCTAGCTCTGTAGTGGGTTTGTAAAGGAGCTACTGCCATGCTGTGGGTTGTAGTATTTCTTCCTGTGTCTGTGATGGGCTGTTTAGTAGCTCCTATTACCGTCTCCTGAAATTCATTGCAATGAAATTGCTTTGAAAGTTTCTCTATCCTCAACCTTACAGTTAATTTGATAGTTATGTTTTATACCCTGGCGCAGAGCAGCTGACGGGGTTGCTGTGAGCATGTGCCAGCTACTCTGAGGCATGCTGGGAGAAACCTACTTCTAGCAGGGCCTCACATTGTAAACGCCTCCCAAATAGTATTAGTGACATATATTCAAACTATAACAGCCATTTCCACTCTCCACAAGTCATCTTTGTTAACAAGTGCTACCTACATTTTTTGTGACAATGTTGAATATAAATTACTATGTGGACTAGAAATCTGACCAATTTTTAAAATTAGTTTGGAGTTGAATTTAGAGGTATCATAGTAAAGATCCTATTAGTGACATTGTCCCACTAGCCTCCCGATTTGCTTTTGTTAAGGCTTCAAGAAGTATGATTTTAATGTTTGAGTTAGGCAAGACAGAAGATGTTTTAAACATAAAACCTAATATTAAACTTGGGAAAACCAGGTTCTGTTTTTTAGCTATAGATTGTTGAAATGAATCAGCTGCTTAATATAAGCAAACTGATAGCTAATCTTGTCGGTTTGATTGAAAAGAGGGCTAGTGTTTTTGTGACAGATAAAAGCTCTGACCTGCCCAATGGGTTAATCCATTTTTTGATTCAAATGCTAGATTTTTGGAAAGTTTAGTATATAGCAGGTAGAGCTTAGCTGGGAGGAGGGGACTTCCCAGGGTGTGCCTTTGTGGGGTGGCCCTCGGCCCTTCAGGGGGTGTGTGCCTTTGTGGGGTGGCCCTCGGCCCTTCAGCTTCTCTTTCCTGTACCCTGGCTGGCATGGTGAATGATTTTCCTTTGCCATGCTTTCCTCGTGATGAACACGCTCCAGAAATGTGGGGCCTGCCTGTGAACTGAAACCTGTGGAACTGTGAAATAAGTCTCCCCAATAAATCCTTCCTCAAGTATTGTTTCACAGCAACAGAACGCTGACTTATGTAGAAAGGAAAATAAGCTCCCGTGGTCCAGAATGGGACTCTTGCATATGGAATTGATAATCTGATTATTTCAGTAAACTTGAAGGGAAGTTTGTGTAAGAAGTTATAGGTAGGATTTGATGCACATGGGGAAAGTTTTCTCTACAATGCTGAAGTGCTTTGGGATGATTCAAAATTAATAAACTATCACATAGGCTAAGCACAGACTCCATTTTAGACATGGTATGAGGCAGTGTGTGTTTGTAGCAAGTGGCCCTGAGCTACCCCCGCTTCCCACAGGGTTATCCTTATCCTCAGCACTGTTCATCCTGTTTTGTACATTTTAGGTATTTTATGGAAGTTTGTAATGGTGTCTACAGAAGATGGCTACGCATTCATTTATGGTTTTCTGTGATGTGTGCCCTTTTGCAGGCAAAGGGGGGAGGTTACGAAAGTGAAGATGCCTACCAAAATGCAGAACTTGTTTTTCTGGATATTCACAATATTCACGTTATGAGAGAATCATTACGAAAGCTGAAGGAGATTGTGTACCCCAGCATTGAGGAGACTCACTGGCTGTCTAATTTGGAATCTACACACTGGCTAGAACACATTAAGGTGTGTATTTGCTAACCCTTGTCAAAGCCTCGTAACGGATCAGCGGGAAGCTGCTGCTGAGCCGTGGAGCCGGTGGCTCTGTGCACACTCGGGTCTGAGAGGGTGGCATCGCGTGCGTGCTGTGCGCGTTTCTGCTGCTTCGTTTTCCTCTTCCTTCTGAATTCTGCCCATGCTCAAGGGAGCGTGTCTTCACTTCTGACGGTCTTAGGTTCTCAACCCCTACCGACTTAATATGCCTCTCTTCATTCACTTGATTTTGAGACACGTTCTCACTCTAAAGTCCGAGCACCATCCACTCGGGATTCTTACACGCATGAGCCTTGGCACCTGCCTCCTTTTTATTGATTATTGATGCTTCTTGCCGTGTGACTGAGGTAGTTATGTCTAACAGAACTATACTAGTTTCTTTTGAGAAGTTTAACTTTTTTTTATTAGACTTTCTTTACGCCTTGTTTTCCAGCTCATTCTTGCAGGGGCTCTTAGGATTGCTGACAAGGTAGAGTCAGGAAGGACATCTGTAGTGGTGCACTGCAGTGATGGCTGGGACCGCACAGCTCAACTCACTTCGCTGGCCATGCTCATGCTGGACGGGTACTACCGAACCATTCGAGGGTTTGAAGTCCTCGTGGAGAAAGAGTGGCTGAGCTTTGGACATCGATTCCAACTAGTGAGTAAAGAACCTTCATTTTAGCATGTGCTCACGGTTGTGTGCAGGCCAGGGGTTGTTGATTTTCTTCCTCAGTTGCTGTCTACTATTTAGAGACATGGTCCTTCACTGGACCCAGAGTTCACAGATGTGGGGTAGGTGCTAGCCAGCAAAACCGAGTTCTGCCATTTCTGCATGTCCTTGCTGGGACTATAGGCATACACATTATGCCTAACTTTTACTTATGTGTTGGGACCAAACTCGGGTCTTGGTGTTTTTGTTTTGAGCCATCCAGCACATTCACTTTTAATTTTTCACAAACATCTTGTGCAAGAGAGAAAATTGCCCATTTGTCCTGCAGAGTGGTCACAAGAGCACTGCATTTGGTAAAGTGTTAGTACATTCTTAATATACTGCAGTGTGAGCCCAGCGTGGGGCCATCTGTTGGGCATGTAACCTTGTCTCTTCTGTGATCTCTACCTAGAAACTCAGCTGTAACTAACGCCCGTGGAGCTGTCCCTGCAAACGGAGCATAAAGTATTGCTGGCTTCCCTTTGGCCTTCTATGACAAGGACAGTGGCTCAGTTATATATGATATTGCTAATGTAGATCAGAGTCTAAAGAATTAGGAACTAAAACCAGAGTGGAAAAATCTGGGGTTTCCCTGGCTAAGAACACTTGCTCCTGTACAGGATTTGAGCTTGTTTCCCAGGGCCTAGAGTAGGTAGCTTCCAAGCGCTTATAATTAGAGCTAGAGGATCGGAGGCTAACCCTTGCTGTCAGGCACTCACACACATAAAAATAAAATTTTAACTAAAGTTGAATTCTTTTGGACTAAACTCTACCTCCCTGGCTATGCTTTCCATAAATTTGGAAAGCAGTACTGATTCTCTTATTGAAATTACAAAATTTTGAGCCCTGTATTATTCAAAGTTTATTGTTTATTTAGAGCGTATGGTTAAACCTAGGGCTGTATACAGCCTAGAGAAGCATGGGATCTTGAGAAGTTTCCAAGGCTGACCCCTAAATTCACTTCACAGTTCCACTTGTTATCATTTAGCCTTGGCGTCTGAGCATCTGGAGTTTTCTGTCTGTATCACTGAGACTAGGACTGGGGTTTTTTTTTTTTTTTTTTTTTTTTTTTTGTTTGTTTGTTTTTTAATACTGGATTTCAAAATTAGGAGGTAGAATATGTTGTTAGTTGGATTAAAATGTGTATCTGTGAATCCAAAGTATATACCTAAAACAGCTAAGGTGTACCTACAAAATTAGTGTTTAGATCCATGTCCAGAAACAAGCCTAGCCCCTACTTGAGGCCACCAGCCCCACTTAGACTCCCTGCTGGGATTTCTTTGTGGAAATGAAAAGAGGCTCCCTGTTGTTGCACACTTCCTTTGGAGACAAATGAAAAGCACTCCTTGTTATTGTTCATGTATCTGATCTAGCTCTCCCTCCACGTCCCCATAAGCTTCAGCTCTTCGGGTGAACACCCTTGAACTTCCTTTTTAACCCACTCCACTTGTCCACTAGTGTTAGTTATGGCTCTCTGCAAGTGGTGCCCATAGCTTATCTCAGTCTTAGTGAAGTGGGAGGTCTTGTGTTGGCTTCCTAGTACTGTACTTTGGACTCACGGCGTTCTTCAGTGGGATGTTAAATGGCTTCTGTTCGGCACTGACTGGAATCAGTGGAGACTGGGGTCCTCTTCCCAGGAAGGAGGAGATAGATGTCTGGGTTAAGAATGGGGAATGACTAAGTCAGGAATCAGGAGTCTAGTGGAGGGAGAAGCGAGAACATCAGAGGCCTGGAAGGTTCTGCATAGCTGCTCTTTCATGTTAGTCTTTAAAGGGTTTTCTAGCAGGGTTCATAGGTAACTTTAAAGGAACTAACACGAAAATGGTTGGGTCTTTTGAACATCAACAGTCAAGCAAAACTAGGCGTCTGGGGCATCTCAGTGTCTCACACTTTCCCATTTTTCTCTAGACGATGTACTGAACAGAAAACACTCCTTTAAAAAAAAAAAAAAAAAAAAAAAGAAATTCTCCCTTAAGTGTCATGTTGGGCAGTGGTGGCACACACTTTTAATCCCAGCACTCAAAGGCAGAAGCAGTTGGATCTCTATGAGCTTGAGGCCAGCTTGATCTAGAGTGAGTTCCATGACAGCTAGGACTGTTTCACAGAGAAACCCTGTTTTTACCCCCCTCCCCAAAAGAAAGTGTCATGTGTTTCAAAACCGGAAACTCCTTGCTTGCTTGCTCTGGCTACTCAGTCCCCTTTTTCTGGTTGTACCATTAAATGGGCTCCTTTTCCTTCATTTCCTTTTATAATAAAGACCACCCAGTCAAGAAGGCATGCTAGTGACAATCTGTTGAAGTTTATGAGGAAAAATCCTATGTAGTCTTTTAGGAGCCTTTTTGGAGAATTATGGTTGTTTTGAAATCTGTTTAAATGAAGCAAATAGCAATGTTTGTAGAATCCAGGAAAAAAACAAAAAAAAAAAAAAAAAAAGTTTTTTTGTCTTGTCCCTCCTAAATTCCTTTAGTGTCCTACACTTTTTATAATTTTTGGTAAGATTACATATTGATTATGCAGAACACATTAGCTCACACTTATACAAGACCTCCTGATGTATTGTTTCACTCTACTATATCAGGCATATGCATATGGTTTTATCAGAAAAGTGGATAAGGCAAAAGTTTACTAAAACTCTGATCTTCAAATTAGCAACAAATAGTGTCCATGGTATTTTATATTAAGGAAAACAAACTGTACAGTTTTGAAAAACACTCATCAAATAGTCAAGTCTTATGAGAGCCATGGTTAACATTAAAATGTTACTCCCTTCCATTCTGATATTGGCATAGGATATTAGCAAATCACACATGTACCCTTTCCATTTTGTCACAAGATTAAAATATTTATACATAGGTAAGACTTGTTAATTTTTCCTGCTTTGCCAATGATACTCTCTGAGAAAACTCGATTTCTTCCTTCAGTTTTGAGCATCTGGCAGGATAGAATACATACCATCTCCTGTGGCCCATCAGCACTGCCCAGCTTAACCAAAAACATCTTAGCATTATGAGTGCTTTTTTACGTTGAAGTTTGCCACATACGTTTTATGACCCACTCTTTGAATGAATCCCTGCTGTGGGATTTTCACGTGCATGGTTGGGGACCCATTTGTGTGAAAAACAGATCCAAGTACTTCTGAAAGTTCTTGAGATCTGTGCTAATGTAGCAATCTTCCGAGGCGGTGCCCTTTGTCCCTGTGACCTTTCATAACATATCTCTTGCCATAGGAAGTAAAATCTCTACAACAAAAATCTGGGCTCTAAGGACTGTCTCTCTCTGTTTTAGAATCTGGGTTTCATTTATTAAAGTAGCAATGTGGTAGTTTTGAAGATACTAAAAATACTGGCCAAATTATACTTCTAGAAAATAAGATTCTGCTAAGTAAAATCTCATACATGTGACATTTCATCCTTTGCTTCAGAGAGTTGGCCATGGGGATAAGAACCATGCAGATGCAGACAGATCACCTGTGTTTCTTCAGTTTATTGACTGTGTCTGGCAGATGACAAGACAGGTAACACATTATCCTAATACCCTTCTCACACACCTCCTCTGAGCTCAGAGGAGGGAAAGTTGATCACTGTTTGGCTTATGATTCTTGGGTAGAATTCCCAGTGATAACAGCTGTTGTTACTGTTGGGTATTAAAACTTGTTGTTTAGGTAAATATGAATGAAGAGTTGGATACTAGTAGCATCTCAACCATGTTTGCTAAGGAAGAGGAAGAAACAAGCTACATTGATTCCAGCCAAAACCAGACACTATTTTGAGTCCTTTTTGCTGTTTTAAATTAAGAAGCGTTGTGACAGAAAGTGTAAGGCAGGAATCACTTGGCCCCTACTCAGTGTGGAGCTTTTAGAACCCTGCAACAGCAGCCTTGAGGCAGTTTTTGTTTGAAGTAGTTGGATAAACTGACTCAGTTTAGAAAGGTACAGAAGGTAACACTTGGTTCATGGCAGGAAGTCGAGCTGCAGGGTCTTGAATGTGGTTTCAGGAATAGGGTTAAGCCTGGAGGCATAGTTCTTGTCACTGAAGACATACCAGTAAGATAAATAAGGCAACAATCTGACCCAACTATCAGCTCTCTGCTTGGTAGGCTCCACCAAGGTCACTAGATGTAAGCTGGGAGCTGGGACTGACTAGGGTACTTTTTGGGTAGGATGGGGAGACATTTTTTAGAAAGACAAAATAATTCAAATTAAGAAGGGGGGAAAAAACCCAGAAGTTGAGAGTATCTTATCGGTGCTTTAACTAGTTATCTAAACAAGTATGAGCAGTAAACTACATGCCTTCATAGATTTTTAGTGAGGTTGGTAGGCACTTTTTCTAAAATACCAAGACAGAATTTTCCAGGTTGTTGTGGAATTTTTCACAAACTGTTCAAGATTTACAAATAAGTTTCTGAATGATTTTGTAATACTAATGGGATGAATTAAGCCTTTTACACCTTTTGGTGGTATGTAATTTAATTTTTTCTTTGATGGTCCTCCAAAACTGGATTGTATAAAAGTAAGACACCCACTGAGGTTTGGATAGGAGTTAATTCTGTGTTGGACTGATGCTGCCGGTTGTGAATTCCAAGGACCTGTTCCTCAACAAGATAAATAGGTTGACTTGTAAGTTGTCTGCATAGCTGTACAGATACTTACTTCTGTGTATATAGTGATGGCATCTGCCGATCACATTTGTTAGTTTTAGTTCTTAGAAATAAGACATGTTGAAAACTAAACATGGAAGATCAGACTCATCAGAACTGCTCCAAATCGTAATTCAGTGGCTGGCAATTACAGGGTCAAGGTATCTGCTACATGAGAGACTCTACCTTGCAAAGGAAAACAGATAAATGCCACAATGGCTTAGGTAGTTTCAAATCTGTCTAAATACTATTACAAAGGACCTATCATGTCAGGGATAATTATGCTTGAAAAATGTCTCAAATTTTTGCTCAATTTGCAGTTCCCTACTGCATTTGAATTCAATGAATATTTCCTCATTACCATCCTGGACCACTTATACAGCTGTTTATTTGGAACATTCCTCTGTAACAGTGAACAGCAGAGGACCAAAGAGGTAAAGTAGACTCTGGCTCTCACTCTGGCATGTATTTGGTTTTCTTATATCTCTACCCGAGAAGTGGGGACGAGGGAATCAATCATACCTATAATTCCAGATGATAAGGATTACAAATCTGAGGCCAGCCTTTTAAAACAAATCCCATCTTAAAAGAAATCTGAAGAAAAGAGGATGCTGGAGATGTAGAGTTCAGTGATAGACTGCTTGCCTAGCTCTGAAGTGCTGGCTGGGTTCAATCCTGCTACAACAAAAACAAACCACTCTGTACAGTATCACTGTTGGTGGTATTGGTAGTGCCTTCCATGCACATCAACTTTTATTCTGAAAACTTTCAGAAAATAGGGTATTCTGCAAGAGTACTCACACTGAAAAGCCTTGCTACCAGGCTCAGATGGTAGACTCACTAATATGCAAGTTCATTTTTATTTCTGTAAAGCAGGCAAGTAGTATTTACTGTTATGAAAATCAAGTGCTTCTGTACCTTGCAGGTATTGTCTTTTAGTGAACATATTTCTTCTGTGCATGGCAGGCTTTCCGTATGTTATGCGATACTAGATAATCACCAACAGCATACAGCAGTGCTCTGATTACTGTCTTTTGAGAAACTCCCTTAAGTCTTAGCTGTAAACCCTCTTTTGAAGTGATAATTAATGGTGTAGCCACAGAATCCGGACCATCTCACCAGTCACCTACCCTGTTTATCCACATTCTCTCAGGTTTGGGCAGATACTAACCTGGTTTCTCTATGGATGGGCCTCTTGTGAACATTTCATTTAAATGGAATCTCTCACTGTCATTCACCATGTGATCTTTGTATTTGGCTCCTTACGTTATCTTTTCAACATTTATGTCATAGCACTTTTTCTTCATGGTCAAATAATCTTCCTTTGTGTGTATCCATCAATTGATGGTGCTTTGGGTTCTTCATTTTGGCTGTTGTGAATAGTATTCCTTCAAACACATGGAGCACTTTTAGTTTTTGTTTGTGGGCACGTACTTGTGCATGGGAGACCAGAGAGGGTGGCGAATGCCCAATGTGGATAAAATTTGACCCTATCTCTAGCACTGAGGCACTTAATGTAGCAGTATTTTTCAGTCTGCAAATAGAACTGTTGGGCATCTCTGTTTAACTGTGCTCATTTCCATTGAAGGAGGTCTATAGCCAGTTACTTTCCTCTATTGTAGCTTTTAATAATCACACTACACAAATTTCACCTAAGGTTTTAAAGTGCTGATGTTGTAGGGAATCTTTACCTATTTTTCCCTCTTGCAGAATCTTCCTAAGAGGACAGTATCATTGTGGTCCTACATGAACAGCCAGCTGGAAGATTTCACTAATCCACTCTATGGAAGCTACTCCAATCATGTCCTTTACCCAGTAGCCAGTATGCGCCATCTTGAACTCTGGGTAGGATATTACATAAGGTGGAACCCCCGGATGAAACCACAGGTACAGATCTACAATACACAGTGTGACTCTACTAGGTCTGTCCCAGTCAGAAACTTCCCAGTCTGCCCATTAGTGATTATAATCCCCAGTCACAGAAGCACTGCCTAAGACAGACAGGAGACTTTTGGGTCCCAAGTGCACACATCCTGAAGAAAATGACTATAAAAGCCTAAAAGCTGCAGGTCCACAGTTCTGAAGAGTTTTAGCTAGATGATGCATCTGTAAAGTAGCATCTTCCAGAAACACCTAGCCATTGAGACAATGATGACAATTAAACCTGAGTCTAATTCCACTGAGGAACCAGGGTTTGGGGCTGTCAAATTGGTAAAATAGCCAAGCTGATGGAATAGTGAAAATCTTGAGCTTGGCTAGGATTCCTGTTGCAGTGATTTTGCTTGCTCTTGCAGGAACCCATCCACAACAGATACAAAGAACTTCTTGCCAAAAGAGCAGAGCTTCAGAGAAAAGTAGAGGAACTTCAGAGAGAAATTTCCAACCGCTCAACCTCCTCTTCAGAGAGAGCCAGCTCTCCTGCACAGTGTGTGACTCCTGTTCAAACTGTTGTATGAAGGGACTGTTAGGTCAGGGGCCTCGCTGCCAGGAACTCAACATTACAGCACCTTACGGGTAGAAAGCCTTCCGTGTTTTAAATCCATCTATGGGAGAAACCCTCAGATGCTCTATTTATTTCAAGTCTCTCTTAGATGAGTTTAGAGACGTCTGGTGCAGGTGGCAATGGAAGTCATTTCATTTGTAATTAAAGAATGACACTAATCTTAAGTCACCCAAATACTAAAGTACTGGAGTCCTATTTCCACAGTGGGGACGAGTTTTTAATTTAAAAATGTCTTAGAAACTGAGCACCTGGGAATCTCTAGGTGCGAGAAGGCCAGAGCGGCTGTTCACACCAGAGCACACATTCCATCAGATCAGTTACTCCTTTCTCAATTCTCCATTTTTTTGTGTATTTAATATAGTAAAAAGTATTGTCTTGAGATTATTATGGCATATCAATAGTTCAAAGTTGCTGCTGACCTTGTAACTAGGGTATTTTCAACAGCAGTTAGGGAATGGTTATGCCTTAGATATGTGCTATGGTGGGGGAGGGGGGGAGATGAAGGGACAAAGCAGTAGCGTCGTCCAGGAATTCAAAGAACATTCCATACCCTTCAGACTAATTCACAATTTATATGTTGATCACTAACATCACGTAAGACATTTTAGAAACTATTACTCTATGTAAATGCTAATTGGCATTAAGAAATGTCTGACTTTAGTGCTATGTTTAAATTTCACGTGCACAGTTTACCAAAGAACACTCTGCATATAAAGAATTACAATCTGAGTGCCAGCAAGTACAGCCTTGTTCCCCTACTCACCTGAATTGGGTGCTGGTGTGAACAACTGACCTCCTGGTATCTAATTTACTCTGTATAAGAGCCATATGTAATGTACTGTAACAAAGGAGCTTATTGGTCTTTTAATTAAATGACTTCAAACTTTGTCCTCGTCCACAGTTGTCTAAAGTATTTACCCCAACCCCACTCCCAAAATGGTATCTAGAAATGTCCAATTTGAACCCACCTGTCCTTAACACCTAAATCAAACTATAAAAGTAAACCTAATCTCAGTCACTAGTTCATTATGGTCTGAACTGTCATTCTATTATTGAAGCTGTAATTAGTGCATCACTCACGTATGCAAACATCTCCCTCTTTTATTAATCTGGCCTTCACACTTGCCAGGCAAGTGCTCACTACTGCTGTATCCCCAGCATGCCCAGTGTTAACGAAGTTGACACCAACTGATTTGATATAAAATTAGTTATAAGAAAATATTTGTTACTAACAAACACTATTCGAAATAAGGTTTCTATAGTAGTTCACGCTTTCATTATTGAAACTTTTATCACCTTGATATGGCACCAAGGGATGCAGGTGGAACCCAGATATTAAAGCTGATTGTACAATTACTCAAAAGTCCGTCATGTTTCCCTTCAAAACTGACCTTCAAGAAATCTTGAGTGTGGAGTGTACACACTAAAAGCACTTCATGTGGAATCCAACTCCATTCCTGGCACACCTTTCTTACTCAGCATAGGATCCACATTGGCATCTTGTACAGGGTACAAAGGAGTTCTGCTGTGAGTGATCAGCAAACTGGAGCAGGATCCAAACCCAAAGCCCAACAGCTTGGATCCAGCTAGGTAAGACTGAGCATCTTTCAATTACTATTCTAATTAGGAGTTGTAGCCATTACCACTCAAATGACGGTTATACAGTTTAATGTCCTAATATTCAAACAAGAAGTCCGCACAAGTGCGCTTAGTTGAAATGGTGGTTGAGATGTAGTATTTACCATGTCATCACAGCAGTTTCTCACCTTCCTGGGGTCAGGGACTCACTCTTGCCAGTTCACTGTTGCTGCAAACCTGCTTGTCAGAAAATTGCACACACAGGTAAAGATTGTATACAATTTCAGGAGGTTTATCAATCTCAAACCTGTAAGAACCCGGAGAATTTTAACTAGAAAATTACAGCATGACCAGTTCATACCATTAAGTTATAATCCATAACCTCCACCTCAGTTCCTTTAGTATATGGCTGGCATGTTCACCAGCCTGTCTAAATCACTCTGCCAGTCACAATGGGCTTAGGTCTCCAAAAGCAGAATGATAAACATGCACTGAAGACTCAATCAGGATACTAATATACACTCTTCACATTGTATAACAAATAAAGCCTTTGTTAGCTGGCTACTAAGAGAAGTTTATAAAAATTGCTTTATTGATCTCAGTACCAAAATTTATAAAGTCTAACATGTTGGTCTATTAAAAATTATAATTTACATTGACATAATGATAGTTGTGTGTGCTCAATACACACACTACCCTTATTCTGTATGCTGAAAGCATGGGGTTCTCTTAAGAGTCAATATTAAAAACCACTGCTTAACTGGATAACATGATTACAAAGATACTGTCAAAAATTGCAGATGTGTACATTTCATAACATCCCCCCCTTTCTACTAATTCTTTATTCCAAAATTTTATTTACTTCATTAACAAGTGTTTATAGTTTTATGAAGAAGTTGTTAGATATTTCATGGGTAACTTAAAATATTTGGGTCTTTAAGAATGACTTAACGCTGATCAACATCTGGAATACCAAAAAGCAAAACAAAACAAAGTCCTCTTAAATATATATAAATATTTAAATACAGAAACCTTGTGTCAGTAGTTGAAAACAGTACATTTAATGGTCATCTGGAGGGGAAAATAGAGGTCACTTCATGCCTGGGGAAGATTTAAAAACGAGGCTTTTCAAGCACTGACTATGGGGACAACCTCGTTCTGAATTTTCAAACCCAATTTACATATAGTCCTACTTAAAAAACACACAAGTAAAAAACCGGTCATTTGTTTACAAAGTGCAGTATATAAGTATAGCAAATTCAAAGAAACAGTGCAGCGTCTCATGCTATAAAACTGCATTTGCATACAGCTGTGCTGCATAACACAAGAGACTGTGTGATGAAGCTTGGGCCCCTAGACACCTGCTAGTAATGGCAACATTAGCAAGCATGAAACCTGCAAAGTCTACTGTCATTGTCCAGTAAGGTACATGATTTATGGTCTGGCATCAGTAATCCCAACACAGACTACTGCTTTGCAGTGAATTCTGTATGGTTTGCATGTCCTTCAGTAACTGAAGATTTTTCCTGCTTCTCTCTCCAGGTCTCTGTTTGGCAAATTCCTTCTTACTTGTGGTCCTTGTGACTCCGGATGAGCGAATGCTGCTGTTCCCTTCTTCATCAAGAGCCTTTTTGTTATGTTTTAATTCCTTCTTCTGATTATCTATGTTTTGTTTCTCCAGCTAGCCAAATAATCAAGGCAGAGGAAAAATGGAATTCAATAAAAACATTTTCTCTTAGCTCAAGTACTTCAGTTTGTTGACACAGGGTCTTCCTATACAGTCCCCTGCCTCAACCTCCTGAGTGTACCAATAACTTAGCATAATCTTCTAACACTCAAATGATACATTCTAGGTGGTTTCTAAGCACATAAGTCTGCAGAAATCATAAATCAAGTAGTAGTCAGCACTTAAGTATACAAAAACATACATCCTTACTAAATAAAGGTAAAAGATGCACTCATTAAATAAATCTACTCAGTTTCCATCTAGAGAAACATGCCATGTATTTGAGATTACTATGAAACAGAGCCCGAGCAAAGGTGGAGCCCAGTGCCTGGGCCAACAGTATTTGGAGTTTGGGAAGAAATGGGCAAAGCTGAAGTAGGTTTTGGTATAGGCAAACACTGCTTTTTCACACACTTATCATACTAAGTTGACAACTGAAAAACTACAGGTGTATTTTGGTGTATTTTACACAACTGAATTTGGTCAAACTCAACCACTTATATTTATCCAGAAGTTTTTTATTCATAAGGCTAAGGAGATTAAATATATTCAGTAAAAACATGTGAAACCTAAGAAAGAATCAATACTCCTTCAAACACAGACTGTATTAATTAAAACATCCTCAAGAACAGCCTAGACAAGTAAGCATCCCTTAGCCTCATCAGTGAGCACATATGAGGGGGAAAGCTAATCATGACAACAGCAGGAGGGAAGGAGGTACCTGGGCTTGGTATTTTCGGACTTTAGTTATCTGGTTGGCCTTCGCTTCCATTCTTCCCACTAATGCCTCCAATTCACACTCCAAGTTGTCTTTCAGTTCCACAGTTGGTGACTCCTGGATGAGTTTAGCAAGCTGCTGATGATCACTACACAACAATTACACCCTTTAAATCTCAGTACGGGAATTTACCACTCTTTAAAAAAAAAAAAAAAAAAAAAAAAAACCCATTTTGCTTTTTAAACAAAGTGCTGCTTCTTCCAAGGAACCTGAGTTCAGTTCCAGCCACCACCTGTGACCCAACCCCAGGGTCTCTGGTGTCTTCTGACCTCCTTGGGCACCTGGACATGTGATATTTACATAAAAAAGTAAATACAAAATGAAGGTATATGCAAGTATTCTTAATTCCAGACAAGTTTGTGTTCATCCAGGGCTGTAGGGCTTGTAAATGGAGTTCTTAACTGGGCTAAGTAATAACCCAACCAGATATGGAGGAAAATGCCCAGAGATCAATCAGAGAGAACAAGCAAGTCTCAGCCATACCACACCTCATTAGTGTCACAGACAGGAGAACAACTTCCTGTTTCCGCCCAGCTACCTCACTTCCTGTCAGTCTGTGCAGACCTCTATGGTTAGCTAGTGGCAAACTCCAGTTTCTGACCTTCATACAGGCTTTATTTGTACAAGCATGCTATCACCACACAGGTTAACATACGTTTATCTACTTTCTGCTTCCTTCATCAACACTACGTATGAATAAATCCTACAGGGTGACACTGGTTTTCAAATGCTCTCCTAACTTATGAGTTACATTAAGGTTAATCAATATTATTACGCTTTTACATGACATTAGACATCTAACACAATTAGAAAAGGCGGTTTTAGCCATGACATTTACGTTTATTTAACTCCCAGCCAGTGGGTTAGTATAGGAGTTGTTATTACTCAACATCTGCTAACAAAATTAGGAATAATAAATTAAATTCAAGGCAGCTAAAAAATGAGATTTGAGAACCAAATGCAATTTTTAATTCAAAACCTTAATACTTACAAGCTCATTTGTCCAAATTCATCCTGCAGAGTCTGTAAGACATCCGAGAGCTCTTCAGAGACACTGCCGGAGGAAGGTGTCACAGACTTCTTAACCTTGCTGCCTCGTGAACAGGCTTGCTTTGCCAAGGGAACACTGTTAACAACGCGATCATTGCACAAAGCCTTACTGTGGTGCTTCATCAGATGCAAGACATGCTGAACATTGGCTACCACTGCATGGCTGGGACTGGTGGACTAAAGAGAAAAAGTAAGTTAAGCAAGCGACATCCTCTATTTCTGTTTTCTAGTTCTTAATCTGGGCAAAGTAAACCACCTGTGAAGTCTAAGGCACAAATACACTAGAAACAACCCATCCACCCTGTGTCACACACATACCTAGTCCAACATCATATACATTGGGTGTGTTGGTGCACACCTGCAATTCCAGCACTACCAAAAACTGTTCATCCAGTTACAGTGGGGCTCAAGACCTCATCTAAAACCGAGTAGACCAACACCGCCACCAACAAAACACCCACTGCCCAGCTGGTATTAGCACTGTCTTAGCTCCACCCCTGTCATTATTCTACCTATAATCCAGGGGTGTGCTGCTAGAAAGCAGGTCTGTAAGTGTAGAATGCAGCCTACACTTCTGCTTAACCTCTACAGTCTCTTGCCTTAATTATGTGAGCAGATTTTATTTGCAGATAACATTTCTTTGGTAAAGCAACTTTCTTACCCTACCTTAAAGCCTGGTTCAAATACTGTAAAAGCCTGGGAAATTAACTGCTCCACTTTCAGATAGATCACTGGCAATTTTTACATCTGTCTATCACTGTTTATCACAACATATTCTACGTGTCTGCATGTCTTTTACTTACTCACTTGATGGTCTAGGTTCTCAATCTTTCTAATGCTGCAAGCCTTTAACACAATGAAATTACTTGGCTACTACTTAATAATTTTGCTACTATCATGAATCATGATATAAACATCAGTGTTTTTGTAAATGTAAATACCTTGAGGTATGCACCACATTTGAAAAGTAGGAAGCACTAAAGTGTATCTGCTACATCATAACCAGAAAGAATAAAACCTGATAGCTGCCTCAAGCTTGTTTTCAATGGCAAATAGCAATCTCAATAGCTGGCTGGTCTTGTTGAGCTCCATAAGCCATCAGCAGAAAACTTGTTTAAACTGCAGACTTGTGGGAAGAACTTAAGACCAAATATGCTCATTTCTTAAAAATTTCTTTGTGTTTAGTTTGAGTAACTTTAGTTTGTAGCATTGGGAAAAGAATCATACACAAAACCCCAGTGGGTTAATCCTAAGAATGCGAATGGCAATTAGAATCATCACTACTTGGCAGTAACTTAAACACACATACACACATAATGGCCAGTGTGTATACTTTAATATGCAATGAGCAAGTTTTGAAAATTTGTGTTACTTTTATTTTTCTGATTCTTAATGTAATTTTGTGTCAGTTGAGTCTAGTAATGAAAGATTTGGGCTTATAAGTCTTACTTTCCCAGTGACTCATTCTTATTATATATTTAAGCTTGGCTCTATAACAATAAGCAATTTTAAAACGCGTAATTTAAAATCTGTAGAGAGCTCAAATAAGCAATTGTATTTCCTTAAAACTTTTAGAATAGCATTTCATAAGGAATACATAGAAGAACTTCAAACGGAGTTCCCATTGAAAAGCTGAGTACTGTCCTCTGTGATTGAAGGCTTCAGTGAGGGTCACCCATGACAACTTGGGTGAGGAGACTCTGGACAGGACAGAGTGGAGACTGTCAGGCAGAGTAAATGTGTCACTGCCAATGTAAGACCCTATGTAAGGACAGCATGACAGCTCAGCAGGTGAAAGCGCTCTTGCTGTGTAAGTCTGATGGCCCGAGTTCTACCTCCAGGACCCACTGTGGGAAGAGAGCCCCTTCAAGTTGTTCCTTGACCTCCGCATGCAATGGCGTCCCCTCGGTTTTTCACAGCAAAACGTTTTTAATAAATACACAAATCAAACTAGGAATTTGTTTTAAAAAATCACACTTATAGAGGCTTATACAAAGACAAGAGAAAGCTTCTTCCTTGACTTGATCCAAAAGGTTTCCTAGAACCAGATATGGTGGTTCCCAGAATTCCTGAGGCTGAAGCAGAAGGGTTTTGGCTTGTCTCCCCTAAAATGTGTTCTAACGACTGAAACAGGCTGGAGATGGCTCAACAGAGATAAACACTGGATGCTCTTCCAGTGAATTCCAGGTTCAGTTCCCAGCACCTACATGGCAGCAGCTCACTATCATCCGGAACACTAGTTCCAGGGGATCCCACACCCTCTTCTGGCCTCTGGGCATTAAACAGATTGTTTACAGACATATAAGCTAGCAAAACACCCAAACATATAAAAGGAAAAAAAATAGTTTAAACATAAAAATCAATAGCTACAACTCACCTTTCCAGCAACAAAGGGCATATCACCTAGGCACAATCTGTAATGTGGCTGTGCACCAAAATAGTTCCTAGAACCTTTCTAGAAGGAGAAAAAAGAAAGCCATTTTATTTACTCTCTAGCTCCCTGCGGAAATACCAGGTACCTAGCTGTACCGGTCACTTTTTGCTGCTGTGAGCAAATAGCAACAAGGCTTCAAGAAGCTACTTAAGAAGAAGGGACTTAGTTGGCCCACTGTTTGATAAGACACAACTCGTCATGAGAAACCCTTGGCAACCGTAGGCTGGGGTGGGTGGGTATTCATCACACTATACCAACAGTAGAAAGCACAGGTCAAGGACAGGAAGTAGGCCAGGCTCAGAACCTCAGGGCCTGCTTTCTAGAGACTTACTAGGGACCCTTTCACATTCAAACCTAACACTTGTTTATACTGAGACTTATAATATTACTTGGAGGCTAAGGGAGGCAGAGTACTAACAAAACAGATGTCAGAAAGCATTTTAAAAGTCAAAGGTATTTGCACAGCTAAACATTCCTAGTAGTTTTATGTTGTTTTGTAGTTCTCAATGCTTTCGTATAGGCCCTCACTACCAGGGTTAAGTATTCACAAGTAAAATGTATCTTCAGGTTGGAGTATAGAAACTAAGAATGAAAGACTCACTCTCCCAAGGTCCTAAACCCACAAGGGATGAGTGTTGCTTACACGAATTAACCAAAATTGGCACTTAAGGACTGTGACTAGCTCAGTTTTCATACCTTTTCTGGTGGTTTTGGCTTCTTTTTTTTAATTTTTCTAGTGCTGGTTGGAACATATGAAGTTGCCTTATCTTCAAAAATAAGTCTATTTGCTTCAAGACCGGTCTGCAACTAGAAAAAAAATAGCATAGAGTTAGTGGTATAAAGGATAAATGCTACAATTCACATTTGAGGTGCCATAGAAAAGCCTACGTGCAGTGGCAGTCATCCGCCCTGGAAGCAGTGGCATGCTGAACAGTGTGTCTTTAGTCTCATTAATGGGAGCTGCTGAGCTAGAGTTGCTCATGGCTTGCCTGGAAGCACTGTTCTACTAGTGATAGTTACTCTGCAAATTCTACTTCAGGAATGAAATGGAATGCATGTAGCTCTAAGCTGACACTGTGCTACACACAGACAGGCAAAGCACCCATGCATGTAAAATAATCTTGGGGGGGGGGGGACGGAAGCTGCAGTTTTCTCTATTTTTCAACAGCCCCACTCTCCAAAATTCTGTGAAAGTGGTAATTTTGTATCGTTCAAAAATAGTCCAGAGTTTGGTAAAAATTCTATGACTAGGTTCTTCCCCAAAGAGTTTAAAACTTCCAAGTTCCCCAGAAGTCATACCTGAGTTTTAAGAAATAGCACAAGTAATGGATGAAATGCAAGGAATATTGAAAACATCCCTTTGTTATCTCAGGCACTCTTAAGGACAGGGTAGTCCCTGGCAGTGCTCAGAAGTACTGACATACTTGAACATACTAAGTAGTACTTTATACTAGACATAACTCCATAGGATATCCTCGCTCTGGAATACACAGTCAACAAGAGTGAACAGTAACAAATGAACTACTTAAGGGCTACTTTTGATCACTTGTTTGATTTCCCTAGCACTATAAAAGGTTTAGTAAAAATCGGCATATATAATCAATTACTCAAAGTAACACTAGAAGAAAGAGACTAGTATTTCTAGTCCTGCATTGTCCGCTGTGAGAATGCAGGGCATGGGCAGATGCCACAAGCTTAGCTGCAAAGGGTCCACTAGTAACTTGAGATCAGAACCTGCTCCTTGGATTACTATGATAAAAGTTACAAACATTAGCCTCATCTTAAAGAGGGTGGAAAAGAGGCTAGAAAATATCTGAGCAAATAACCATAGACAAAAGTCTCTATCTAGTTAAAATATAAAACAACTTTATCTTACAGAGTCACTTTAAGTAAGACTTCCATGTTGGACGTGTTTTTCCCTCACAAGTATTTATTTTACATGTATGGATTTACAAAACTGCCTGCACTTATGTATGTGCGTGTGCCTGGTGCCCAAGGGTTAGAAGAGAGTCAGATTCTGGGACTGGAGTTGTAGATGGTTGTAACCTACCTACTGCAAGGAAAACCACATGCTCTCATCTCTGTTCCACCGCACAGGTTATAAAAATACTAATCCAGACTTTATAATTTCAAACACCCGAAGAACTGCTCGGGCAAATTTTACTTTGCTCTCTCTTCAGGTCTACATATGGATCTAGTGTGCTCGTGTGTAACGGTTCACCATTAAAACACGTGTTTATCCGTTCATCATTCCACCACTCACCTCTGCTGCCTGCGCCTGCATTCGCTTCCTTTCCTGCTCTTCTTCACGAAGTTTAGACTCTAACTCTTGCATTTTTTTCTAGTAATAAGAATATCAGAGCAGATAATGGTTAAAAGAATCTATCTGTAGAGTTTTAAGGATAGTCAAAATAAGTATGTTAATTCACTTTAGTAATGGTTCTGGCCTTGATAATACCCATGACACTCCTAACAGATCAACTAATAGTAATTAGTGATGTAGATATGATATAAGGAGCCAGAATTATGGGGTGGGGGGGAATTTATGGCCAAAGAACACAGCTTTGTATAAAGGTCAAGATAACAAAGACAAATCTAGATCTTCACTCAGTAGTAATAAATATCTCTCAGGTAAAATTAGTTCAGAAAAAAAATTACATGATGTAAGGTTTAAGTATCAAAACCATTTCACCTTTCATCAAGATTACAAAATGTAAAAATTCCTTTTCAAATTATGTTAAAGACTATGTATAAGACATTTAAATACCCATGTTTATGAAAAAACAGTGACAACTATACAGCACATTACATCGTAAGTAAAAAAGCCATGTTCACTAACTTCCGCAAGAGCCTGCATTGTGGTGAGTTTGTTGTATTCCTGTTCAAGAAGATCCAGCTTTTCCAGCTGGCTCTGGACATGGGTTTGGTCATGCTGCCGCTCTCTTTCCAGGGAAACCTGACAACAGCAGAGTGCAGTGATCAAAGTTGGCAACAGCACACACCCGACTTAACACTCTCTGTAATTTGCCTCTCCTCCTGCTGCATATGGGCAGGAATAGAACACTAACGAAGATCTCGGGGTACCAATCATCTGTGTCTGTCTCATTCTGTATGTGTATGCACAGCACGTCTTTTGATATCAGAGGACATCTCATAAGAGCTGGTTTCCTCTTTTTGCCATGTGGATCCCAGAGATCAAACTTGGGTTTTCAGGCCTTTCCACTAAGCCATCTCACTGGCCTTGGGCTACTATTCTCAGTATAGTGTTTTATCATGTATCTGGTTTTACGTAAGGGCATATATATCCTCATAACCTAGGATAGTAGATTTACTGGACACACAGGCTACATAAATATTTCAGCCAGTCTGGTCCCATTAAATAGTGTCTTAATAACTGTAAGAACTCACATGCATTTATTTCCTTTTGAATGCATGTTCTTTTTTTTTTTCAAACTTAGGGTCTGATTTGGAAAGACAGCCCATATACTTAAGGAATAAGAGTCTCAGGATAAACAAGTCAGAATAAATGGGCAATAGACAAAATGGATTTTTTTTTGGAAAAGCCCAACACTAAGTATCTGAATAAGCCATTGCCACTTCTTCAACTGTCCATGACAGTGGGGAATTATAAAGAGAACTCTGAATAAAATAATCCAAGCAGTAACACATGTAATTAATCACTGGTACATCTTTCCCAGCACTGCTACATAACTAACTGCTTATACATGTAAGTCTTATGTCTCAAACTAGGATCAAAAGTTGACATGGACTAGAAAATAGTATTTCTCTTTTACAACTGCAGATTATATGAAAATGATGTTTAAAAAATATATTGGACACTGATGTTGAATTTCCTCTACAAATGTGCAAGTTCCTTAAGTAGAAAAACTACTGTCGCAAGAAGAGAAAAAAATATGTTTAAAATTTAACAAGTATAGTAGCCGGGCACATACTGAATTTGGTAGAGTGCTTGCCTAGCACCAGAGAAAGCCTTAGGTGCAACCCAGGCATCACAGACACCAAGTGTAGTGGCAAGTGCCTGTCAACTCAGCAATTTGGAGATGGGGTCAGTAAGATGGAAAGGGCCATGTCATCCCTGGGCGACGTAATGAGCCAGCCTAGGCTCAATGAGACTCTGTCTCAATAAGCAAATTATAAGGTTTTTTGTTTTTAACTGCAAGGAATTTTACAAAGAGTAGATTTCAGGGGTACATGTGATTATTTACACATTTGATAATGCAGACTCCAAAACATTAGCACAAGTCTACCTAGTACAGGAATCACACAGAACAGGCCCAATCAAACCACCGTCTACTACACCGAGTGCGCTCAATCCCAGCCTGTGGCTCTAACAGAAGTGCTGTCAGCAAGAAGAGGTCTGCTAATCCTCTGTCAGCACTCTTCACTTCATCTGGAAGGTACCATACCTGCTTTTCTAAGACAGATGTCCTCTCCATTTCTGCATGCTTTATCATATTTCGCATGTATTCCAACTGTTTTTCTAAGAGATTACATTTATTTTCTGCAGCTAACAACTGGGACGCCAGTTCTAAAATGAACACACACAAAAAAGTAGTAATTAGCTAACACAGATGCTCGTCCCAACAGCTTGTATAAACAGGAACTGGACGTACAGTAGTATATACACAGGCTAGAAGTAAGGTTTGTGGTAGAGTGCTTGCTCAGCGTGCCTGAGTACTGGAAAACAGAGCTCTGCCCTCCATCTGCTTCTCATGCTAAGTCAGACATGCCACACTGTCAGCACTATGCATGATGTCGCGTGCCCTCACAATACACCTGATTGTGATGTAATTACGTAATGGCTAAAGACTCACCATCACAACATACCAACATGAAACCTAAAATAATTTCACAGTATTTGGACAGATCCTACTTTCGTTCTTAAACACACCTTGATTGTGTTTTGATTCTTCATTCTTTGAATTCTCTCTCTCTTGTATCTGTTCATCCAATACTTTCTTATATTCAATCGTTTCCCTAGACAACGTTTTCACACTTTCTTCTGCCTGAATCCTTTCCAGTTCCAAGCGTCGAATCTTATCTTGAAGATTCTTAAGAGCAGAAAATATGGCTGAAAAGTATAAATGCATACCTTAAGTTATCGATGCACACAGAGAAGCTCACCAAAAAAATTTCTTCTGATAGACTCTCATTCTGTACTGCAGAATGGTCTCAAAAATCACAGTAATTCTCCTGACTTAGCCTTCCAAGGGACATCATTCTTAGAAAATAAAGCATTGTTTCCCAACTAAAAAGTCAATCCAAGGCATTGTTTCAAATTCTTTAAAAGGTTCTACCAGTTACTCAAGTAAAAACTTTACAAAGAAAAACCACCAGTGAGGGGGAAAAATTACAGAGTTTAACTGTTAAAAAAACAAAACAAAAAAAAACCTTGGCTAATCATACATAAATTGACAACCATCCTGTGGTGCTTTGAATAAGAATGCCCCTACAGGCATTTGAATGCTTTATAACAGGGCATAGCACTACTTATTGGTAGAGGAAGTACATCACTGGGGGTAGGCTGTGAGGTTTCAGAAGCCCTGGCCAGGCTCAGTGTCTCTCTTCCTACCTTCAGATCCAGATATAGAACTCTCAGATACTTCTCCAGCACCATGTCTGCCTGCACGCCACCATACTCCCTGCCATGAGAACAATGAACTAACCCTCTGAAACTGTCAGTGAGACCCAGCTAAATGTTTTCCGGTATGAGCATTTCCCTGGTCATGGGGTCTCTTTACAGCAATAAAGCACTAGCTAAGACACTCCCAAAGTATATTGTTAAATGTTGTCAACCACCTGGATGCTGAAATCAGAGCAGCTATGGCTATCCACAAAAGACCCTAAAAAGGTGTGCAAACATTCCCTCCTGGAAGGTGAGGGAGCCTCATGCACTACTAAGCAGCTCAGCAGGCAGGGGATTGCTCAGTTCAGGGGAGACTCTTCCTTAGTCACCTGTAAGTTGCCCATGTTCATGCGAGGAAGCTCAACAAACTTACTGTTTCATCAAGTTTGTCTGTAATGGAATCATCTCTTTGGTCTACTGTTGGTACCTCTCTGTGGTACCAGATATCTGATCATGTATTCCTAGCAACAGGCATACAACAGATGTCTCAAATCTCGTTGTGTACACACCAAGTGTATAAATACGCCAAAGTCAGAGGTCAGCTTTGGCTTCCACTCCTCAGACAATAGTGTCCGTTCAGGCAATGTCTTTCACAACTGAGGCTCACTGATTTGGCTATGTTGGGTGGACAGTGAGTCCCAGAGGACTAACTATCTGTCTCTGGCACAGGAATAATGTGCCAAGATGCCTGGCTTAAAAAAGTAAGAAGACTGGGATGGTTTTATCTTTTGACACTGTATGCACGTACCTAGTGTTCACTTACTTCCTTTCACACTCCTTCACCACAGGACCTGACACCCAGCACACACACCCCATAATGTCTGTCTTCTTTAGAAAACTGTAATTCAGAGTCTAATCAGTGCTGTCTACATAGTGACTTTGACTTTTGAAAGGCATTTATGTATTTAATGGGCATGGATGTCTTGCCTGTATGTACATGTGTGCTATATGCATGCTCGAGGCCAGAAGAGGGTGTCAGCTGTGAGCGGCCATGTGGGTGCTGTGGGTGCTGGGGACTGAACCCAGTCCTCCTGCAAGAGCAGCTGGTGCTCTTAACTACTGGGCCATCTCTCCAGCCCTGCTTGGAACTTAGGCTCCTGACTGAGTCTAGAAATGACAGACTAGTAATAAATGACTTAAAGTATTTTAGTTTCCATGATTTGGTGGATAATGTTTAGCAGTCAATATGAAAAGCACTATAAATTCACAGAAATAAAGGGGAAAATATATACTGTTCTAATTTCAAAACAACAGAGGTCAAAACCAGGAATTTTAAAGTAACCAGTAACCAAATAACGTTTCCTTTGTCACAGGTGGTTACCTCTGCTGTTGCTTTCTGGGTAGGCAAGTGTGGGCTTATTTGGGGACCGTCGTAGATCACTGTTAAGGAAAGGCTTGTCAGATGGATATAATACATATGGAGATGAAGAATGATGGACCATACTTCCTTTAGACCTTGATGGTTCAGCTAGGATGTTCTGAAAAAGAAAATAATGAAATTACCTTTTGACATATAAGGCCAACAGTCATGACCAAGAAACACTGTTTCTCTAAAAGACAACCTAAAAAAACCCCATTTCACAGTAGAACCCAAACATTACTGTCAAGAGATGCAACATTTTGGGTTAAATAGCCACATTGGAAAAAAAATCCTGCTCACACAAACTCAACACAAATATTTAAGCAGGTCAAATGTTTGTTCAAATCGGAAACAGAATTTGCTGAATTACTACCCACAATCAACAAAATATTTGCCAAATATTTTTAATTTTTAATAATTTATAATGACCAAAAACTCCCTAAAGAAAGCATGTTCATTTCTTAAATAATTTATATTTAGTTAGCAAAAAAGAAAAACAACTATAAAACATTGCAGCTTATCGAATATTCTCATGTAAAACTATTTTTCCACGTATAACATCTGTCAAATTTGGGATTATGTTCTACATAATATAAACTTACCATAGTATACCTCTGGAATTTTGGTAGTAGGTGAGTTTGTAGTACAGTAGGACATTTAGAGTAAGTAGCAGGCATGTTTGTGGTGCACTCATAGATAAGAGGGAAATAATGGAGATGCTAGGAGCTAAGGAAGAAGACGGGATGACTGCCAGCTATTCAGAATTCTCACACATTTAGTTCCCTTTTCAGAACACCACAACAAATTAGGTTTTCACTTTTCTAACGAACTCCATTGCTAAAATATCAGTGTAGTCTGTATAGGTACAAAGGAACGATGATTATTCACAACAATAAACCACTTCTTTGAATAAACAGAACTATCCAAAATACCTACATAAGAAAGATTTGTACTTTTGTGTTACAGTAATACAAACTTCCAGTGGATTTCTAAGAGCAGTTACAAACACACAGTTGCTATAAAAAAAAAAACTACAAGGGAGAGCTTAGGAAAGGTAGGCACAAGTCTCAAAAAGAGCCCTAGGCACATAAGTGCTACCATTTCTCAGCCTTTTGCTTAAGATCAAATGAGAGCTCTATCTGTTGTAACATATAGGCTCAGGAACTAACATTTATCCTTCTAGAAAACAAAACAAAAAACACAAACAAAATGAAAAGGCAACCTGGCATGAGGTTTTGAAGGTAATTTTTAAAATTATAAAGTATGGTCAATAATATTATATAGAATTATGAATTGTCCCGTACCTTGGTCTTAAGAGAACACTGGAACACTGGGTTTTAGTTTCTAGCTAGAAACTGCTAGAATCCCATCATTTAACATTCAAAGTAAGCTAAGAGATTTTACCTTAGAATTCTCCCTCACAGAATTAGCAGAACCAATTAATCAACTAGTTCTAAATAGAAAACACATGAATTAGCTCTTGTCTTCCACAACAGCAGCAAAGATATGACTTGTCTGTCTCGGCTTGCCCCTCTTACCCTGTCAAAGTCTCAGCTCCTACAATTCACCCTCCTGGTTCCTGGTGCCTCTCACTCCCGTCCTCTGCATCTTTCCCAGTGCCTCAGAAGGGCAAAGACCTCTCCCTCAACCCTAGACTGATTTCTGAGTTTTTTAAAAACATAATCTAGCCAGTGGATAAAGGTGCTTGCTGAACGAGCTTAATGGCCCAAGCTAGCTCCCTGGAAGCCACTGAGGTGGAAGGAGGCAATTTCAAAGCTGTCTTCTGACCTCCAGGGGCAAACTGTGGCATGTGCACTGCACACACACTATCTAGCACACTAAAAACTATAAAATCTCTAAGTAAAACAAGCTTCCTTAGAAGCGAGAATCATAGAAATCATTTACCTAAGGACTTAGTGGAGGGAGCAACAATCATTTCCCTTCAATCTCCTAGGTCTCTTCCTCAGAATCTCCCTGGATGCCCCCTCCCTGCTTTTATTAAATGTCAAGAGTTCCCTAAAGCTTGGTTCTCAAGGTTCCTTTCTTGTCTACATTGGTTCTCTTTTTAAAGAAATCTCATCTACTCTCAGGCCTCTTCATTTTTATTTGCCAGAAGCTTTCAAGTTAAAATATGGAATTGATCAGACTCTAAATCTTCAAACTCTCATCACTCATTACCTACTGGGATGTCTTAACAGGCACCTAACATTTAACATGACAGTACCCAAATTCTTGGTTAGTTGTCAAACCTGCTCCTCAGGAAGAGTGCCTAAACAACTGCCACCACCATTCACTAAACTGCTCTGTACAAAACTCTTGTACTGGTCATCTTCATTCACTCATATCTAACCTCTGCAAATCATATTTAGAATCCCTACCACCCCCAGATGTGGCTGCTATTTGTTTGTTTGAATTGCTATGAAATTCTAACTGTTATTCACACTTAAGGTGCTCTCCCAAACAGCTTGTTAGTGATAATGATCCTAAAATGAGTATGTCTGGGGGTGGGGTGGGGGGGTAGAATCCAAGTTAATATTACTAATCAAAACCCTCCTGTGGCTTTCCAAAACAGAGCACACTTCCAAATTCTTCCCACGGTTTATAAAACCTCCACATAATGTAGTTTCAGGCTAACCTTTGTTTCATTTCTTGACACACCTTAATACTGCCTCCCTACCAATAGAAACAACAAAAAAGTAACTGCACAAACACGTGTACTTTCCTACTGAGCAGGCGTTAGGATTTCAGTCCTGTCTACCATAAGGACTAAGGATTCACTACACCCACGTCATGGCCTTGATGGCCTTGGGTAAAGCTCAAGCTCTCCAATTTCTAAGTGTTGAGCACAGAAGAGCCCTCCTTTCCCAAGGATAACCACTGACACAGTCTTACTTTTACCCTTATCCACCAGGTCCGGGAAGGAACTCCCAATGGTTTGCTCCTGCACTCCTGGATCTCCCCTAGACGCCCTGTGCTGAAAACTTGAGACATCTGGCCTGCTTAGCACAAGTCCTAGTAGCCACAGAAAGCCGAAACCGAGCTTCCTAAGCATGGCTGCACTGGCCTCTCGTCATCTGTGGGAAAGTACCTGGTGCTCGGACTTCCCTCCTTACTCAGTTCTCACTGCTCTACCTACCTCTATCTACCTGCTTAACTGCAGAGCAGCGTTCCCACCGAGTGCTAGCAGGGCCGGGGAGAAGCGGGAACGCGTGAGGCGCCGAGAAGCACGTAGAGGCCAGTGCACTCGGTGGCCTGGGACGCCAGGCAGCTGTCACTCAGCAGACCCGCACACCTGCCCACCGGGCCGTTATGCCCACGTGACCGGCCGAGCTTTGTTTCCAGGGGCTGAGAGTGCAGTGGCGGGGTCTGGACACCTGCGGGGCGCCGGCTGCAGGCCAGTGCGTGCGTGCGGGGCGGGGGACGCGGGCGGCGGGGACACAGGGACGCGGGGACACAGGGACGCGGGGACACAGGGACACGGGGACGCGGGGACACGGGGACGCGGGGACACGGGGACACGGGGACGCGGGGACACAGGGACGCGGGGACACAGGGACACGGGGACGCGGGGACACAGGGACGCGGGGACACAGGGACGCGGGGACACAGGGACGCGGGGACACAGGGACGCGGGGACGCGGGGACACAGGGACGCGGGGACACAGGGACGCGGGGGACGCGGGGGACGCGGGCGGCGGGGACACAGGGACGCGGGGGACGCGGGGACACAGGGACGCGGGGGACGCGGGGGACGCGGGGACACAGGGACGCGGGCGGCGGGGACACAGGGACGCGGGGACACAGGGACGCGGGCGGCGGGGACACAGGGACGCGGGGGACGCGGGCAGCGCCAGGTCCGGGGCAGCAGAAAGGACGCAAACCGGAACCCGGGGCCCGGCCCGGCCCTGCCCACCGGAACCCACGCCGACACCGCCGCTCACCGAAAACTGCGACCCCGAAGCCGCCGACACCGAGGCGGTCGCCATCTTCCCGCTGCGCAGCGCGGGCCGCCGCCCTCGAGCTCGCGCTCCGGCCCCGACAGCCGCCCGCCTGGGGCGAGCCGAAGCCGAGCCCCCGATGGAAAGGGCGGGCGCGCCGCGAATCCGCCTGGAGCCTCGGCCTCACACCCCACGGCGCGGGGACGCCGCGCTCCGCGACCGCTGGACAGCAACGCGCCTTGACAGGCGTCGCCACTGGCCAATCAGGGAAGAGGACATCTTCCGGCGGCACGCCAGGGCCCGCCTCTCCTGCCGGTGACGTCACAAGGTAGCGCGCCGCCGAGCCGCCGGACGGCTCTGAGAGAGTTCCGGAAAGGGCTGTGCGCCCTGGAGGAGGGAGCAAAGGCCGCCGGGGCGGGGGACGGGAGGACGGGGAAGCCAGGGCGCAGCTCCAGCGCTCCATCAGGCCCCAGCCACGCTCCAGAGCACGTCCCCCGGCTGCACGCCTCCCGGCCAATGACAAGCAGGCGTGGGAGGGGCTTCGCGACGCGGCCCAATGGAAACCAAGCGTTGGCCTGCGCGGCGCGCGGTGCGCGGTGGGCTCGGGCGCTCCGCCCACCCCACGGCGGCCGTGGCTTGTGGGCGGGGCCTCTTCCAAGCGGATTTGGCGCGCTCAGAGCCCCGGCCTCCTATTGGTGCTTGCTTTCCTCTCTTTGTGGGCGCTCCCTGCGTAACCTAGGCCAGGGGCTGGGCGGGGCTTCCGAGTGACGTGAGCTTCTCCCCGACCAATCGTGGGCGGGGACGCGAGGCCGAGGAGGAAGCGGAATCGGCCGACGGCCGCCCGCTTCGTCTCCCTCCGCCGCGTTCCGGGCCTAAGCGGGAGCAGCGGGGCGGGCGTCAGCGGCGGTCCCGGGGCGGCGCTGGGGGCGGAGGGGAGCCGGGGGCCCGGCCGTCGCCAGGCACGGCCCGCAGCAGCGGGGAGGCCCGCGGGCGGGGCAGCCGACTTCCCGGAGGCCCCGCCTGAGCGCGCGGAGGAGCCCGAAAGCAGGATGGCGGCGTCGGCCCTGTATGCCTGCACCAAGTGCACGCAGCGCTACCCCTTCGAGGAGCTGTCGCAAGGCCAGCAGCTCTGCAAGGTCGGTGGACGCCGGGGCCCGGGCATCAGGTGGGCGAGGCCCGGGGCGCCCCGCAGGCTGCGGCCGGGGCCGGGGCCGCCGCGCTTGGCGGTCTCGGGTGGGGCTGAGCCGGCCGCCGCTAGCTAGTCCAAGGCGTCCAGACTCCCGGGGCAGACTCTCACCCCAGCTCGGCAGCCCTCTCCCTCCTCTGGGAGGCAGGGCTTCGTGTTTGCACTTTCTTGCTAGGATCCCGAACCCCAAGCCGCAGGGCTGATGGCATCCTGCTTCCTGTCCCGGAAAGCGAAGTGACTGGTTTGCAAACAGAGTGCTCTGATTTGGAGCTCCTCCCATCCCGTAAACGCTGTGAGCAACTGTGCAAAATAACGCCTGTAGCCGCCCCCTGGAAGTCAGTCCTGACAGCTTCCTTGATTTATAGATATTCCATACCCCCCCCCCCCCCGCATCCAAAGAAGACAAAAATATCTATGGCCTCCCGCTGGAATTACCCAGTCGTTTACTTACGTTGCCAGCCAGGTTTTATTGACACTTGACAAGGTTGAGTGATTTCTACCAGAAAAGTGAGGTTGGGTCTGTGAGATAAAACTGACTAATGTATTATCTTATTACAGGAATGTCGGATTGCACATCCTATTGTAAAATGTACTTACTGCAGATCAGAGTTTCAGCAGGAGAGGTTTGTATACTGAGAACTTTTTCATTGTTACAAATTCATGCAAAGAATGTCTGGGGCATTGTAATATCTGATAAAGTGTTTTGAGAAAATGCTTTTGCTTCTGAAATTTAAAATTAAGAACTTTCATACATACAATGAGAGAACACATTAGACAGTCCTGGTATTTATTTTAGAACTAGACTGCAGTTTGAGCATGACAAAATAGAGATAAATTGATGGATGGAAAAATGTACATTTTTGCCAGTAATCAGAATACAGTTATTTTTAAACTCTTTAATGGAAAAGTGCTAGAGGAAAGAGCGTATAGTGTTAGCAGCTGCTTCCAAAACTGACGTCACTGACATCTCATTGTGACTAGCACACAAGTAAGTAGCTCAAGAGAACAAATTATTCCTGGATGTGTGGAAATCTCAGTGGCTAACATCTGGCTGAGAAATGGGAGGCCCTGATGCATGAAGATGGTCATTTATATTGGTAAGGGAAAGTTAAAACCCAGAAGGAAAGACATCAGGGCTTTGCTTTGCTTTTTTCCCAAAAATTATACAGTATGCTTATGCTTATGCACAGCATTTAGAGGTGGAGGCAGGAGAATTACCACTTGGAGATAAGCCTAGACACATATCCTGAGACTCTTGTCTCTAGTAAATTAATAATATGGGAATTTTGTTTTTAAGAGAAATAAATGTACAAACTATCCTAAAATTAATACTCATGTTTTTAAGAAGTACTTGTGAATTAGAATAAATAATCTGCAAATCTTTTGACTTCATTTATTATTGTAGATCAACATGTGTTACTTACCCTAAACAGCTACATAAGCGTAATCATCTGGATATAATTTCCTTTTCAGCAAAACTAACACAATTTGTAAGAAGTGTGCTCAAAATGTCAAGCAATTTGGAACAGTAAGTATGTTTTTCATTTCATGTGATTATTATTGGCCAGTTACAGTTCTTCATGGCTTTCTTATAAAACAATCCAGTGTCTGTACTTAAGTATCTCAACATAGCAAAATAACTCATAGAAAAAAGTCTGTAGCCTTGGAGGGAAAATGGAAACAAGTTGAAAACAACTGCATGCTGTACCTGTTTTATAGTTAATTTCAGTGTACGTTTTGTGAAACTATTTCTTAAAGATACAATTGTAGCAAGTTCCTTAATGTGATGAACCTTTTTATTCACAATGCTAACATAATCAAACTTTCTCCTGATTTCTGCGACTTTTTATATGGCAGTACAGTTCACATGTATCCTGGTACAAACTGGCCCACATGTGTGCTGTAGATGTTAACATAACAATCCTGTTTATGATAGGTCCAAGTGCTGACCTTATGCCTCTACTGCCCTGAATATCCAAGTAATAAATATCCATGTAATAAAGCGTATTTATTTACTTACGCTGAATATGCTTATGCTGACTTTTTATTTTGAAAAGATACTTTCAGTTTACATTTACTGTGACAACTACCTACATAAAATGAAATTCTTTTTAGTTGGGTAAATGTTATAACAAGTTTATTTCCTCAAATTATGGAGTCATGAGACTTTTCTGTGACTAATTACCTAACCTCATAAGCAAATTTTCTATTGTGTAAATGCTGTGTAAGTCCTGAATGTGTTTCTCACAATGGTCAGATCTTTTGAGCATGCACGGTCGAGCTTCGTGACTGTGGAAATAAATGTTAGTAGAACGAATAGGCCCATTTGACTTTGAACATGGACTTGGCAAAAACAAATTTTTTAACTTAACACTTTCCTTCATTAAGTCCTCAGATATCTTAGTAACACTAGGTGTGTCTTCTGTAACTGAGTTCTAAATGTCTCAGTTATGTCTCAGTTAAACTGTGTTGTTTTGCAGCCCAAGCCTTGTCAATACTGTAACATAATTGCAGCATTCATTGGTACCAAGTGTCAGCGTTGTACAAACTCAGAAAAAAAATATGGACCACCTCAGACCTGTGAACAGTGCAAACAGCAGTGCGCTTTCGATCGCAAGGAAGAAGGAAGAAGAAAAGTATGTTGTATTTGTTATGACATCTTCTAGAAACAAACACCAGACAACTCGGCAGTTACATAAGTATAGCTCTAAGTCTGGTTTCCGATACCCGGAAGCAGTAGTGGAAGACTAGCATGCCTGTCTTTGCACCATGGATCCGTGTTGGTCTGTTCGGATGTCTGCACCGTAAACATCAGTGTGCTGTGAATCCTTTCACTTACACCCTCTTGCTGGTTAGTTCTAATTGTTGGTGTGAAAAACAGACCCATAGTAGCACATAAACTCTGAAGTCGGTATTTGTCTTTTGTTTATGCTCATGTTTGAAAGCACTGTTTGCTTCTGTCCACCTACAGTGACTTAATTATTAGGCGCCATCCCTCTGCTGACCAGTACTCACACAGGCCTCCTCTTGTCGGTTAGTTTCAGTTGCTTTGGAGGATGACTGTCCCTTTGAGGGGCTTACCCAGATACCCCACAGCACTGTATGCACCTCAGTGTTAAGACAGCATTTCCTCTATGCAATGAAATGAAATCAAAGAAGGCAGAAACTATATCTTAATTTCCGAAAGAGGTCACTTTCTCTCCCATGGACTCACAAAGTTGACTCTCATTTGCAGTTGTGACAGTCTGTAAAGTTGCCAGACTAGTGAGCTGTGGCTTGTCAGGGACGCGGGGGGTTAAGTTCCTGCCTATAATCGTAACATGCCTGTCGGTTCACCAGTACATTAATGATTTCTGAGTCTGTTTAAGATAGAGCATGTAAATTTAAGTGAATACATGGCCAGGAGCAGTAGTAACAGCTGTACAAAACCTAACCAACATGTTTTTCTGTGAGGATCATCACAGCTTTAGAACATTCTTCACTAAAGTGCCAGAACTAAATGTCCTGTGGGAAGAAGAGTTGTGTGCCTGTAAGAGGGGTTGGGAAGAGCGCCGCCTAGTCGGCTGTAGTTGGGGCTGTGATGTCTCTTGTCCTGAGTTTTCCACTGCTCTGTATCTGTAAGAGTAATTGTAAATAGGATTTTAGACTTAGAGGTCAATACATCTACAGAAAAACCCTGAATACAATGAGAATTGATTGTTACTTATGCTCCTATTTTTGTTTAAGTCAGTACTTACTATTGTGGAAAGTACTCATCATTTTGGTAATTACAGTGATACTAAAACACTCAGGCCGGATTTTTAAAAAATAATCAGCCATTTGTAGCCATTTCTCTAGACACTGTTGTAGCTATTTTATAGAAATAATAAAATTAAAGTACTTAACAATTTGGAGGTCTATAAATCAAGTCTCCTAGCCAGTTTTATAATCCTCTTGCAATATAATCACAAGTGTCAAATGTCTTAATTTTAGAATCTGCATGTTATATTCATATTCTGCAATTTCATAAGACTCGAAGAACATTACACATGTTCTGTGAAGTATGATGAAGTATAATTGCAAGTTCATTCTGCTTGCTGGGCTCACTTGCATGTTTTTGCACGCATTTACAAGTGTGTGTATTTATGCAGTTACTTTCTTTAAAGGTGGATGGGAAGTTACTGTGCTGGCTCTGTACCTTATCGTACAAGAGAGTTTTACAGAAGACAAAAGAACAGAGAAAGAGTTTGGGATCTTCACATTCTAATTCTTCATCTTCATCTCTCACCGAAAAAGACCAGCACCATTCAAAACACCATCACCACCACCACCACCACCACCATCGCCACAGCAGTGGCCACCACAAGTAAGCACTTTGAAATCCTTTAAAACACTTCTGGTATTGTTAGTGGTCTTTGCACAGCTATCTACTTCAGTGTGGTGATAAAGTGCTAGGCCAGTTTCTGTTGTATTGGTGAGCTGCTTTAATGTCTGGCTGTACTGTGAACATTTTCCACATGATACATTCGGTGTTTATGAAAATAATAAAGAATCATTTATAAAATCAAGATACGTCAGCATTTATTGGTTTTTCAATTATGCTAGTTAAAAGCTTCTGTTTTAAAGATAAGCTTAGGGCTTGCACGGTTTTTGATGTGGGGGTGTGTACCACAGGGACTTAGAGGTAGAGGGCGGACGGTGCTGTGGAGTCCTCTCTTGCGAAGCTTCAGGGAGGAAGCTCAGCTAGAAGGCTCCACTGCAAGCCCTTCCTTCCCTTGTTTGCTAAGCTGCCTTGACTTCCCAGTATAGGAAATTTGTTTCATTTGCCATTCCTTTGTCTTACTAAAATCATACTTAAAGCAGCCAGGGGGAAATTAGAACAGATTGTAAAGTCCTTTGTGACTGACAGAAACATTTTTTTTCTACTCTTGTAGTAGGGATTGAACCTAGGTCGTATGTGCTAAGCACAGGTTCTACCATTGAGCTACATGCCCAGCCCCTATAGAAGCATTGTTAATCTTGGAGGTTCCAAAATGTACTGTGGGTGCTTTGTTTTTTATTTTGTTGGTTGATGGTGTTTTTAAACATAGGTGTAGTTGTAATTGCTATTCAAATAAAACATCTTAAGTTTTAAAGTGATTTCAGATAGGGGAAAAATAATTGTGTGTACTGTTGAGGGTCTGTTTAAATGTAATTTTAGTTTTTGTAGAAAATCAACATTAAAACAGATTTACATGTAAATGAAAATCGCAACAAAAGGATATATTTTTCAAAAGAATTTGTTTTTTCTCTAAATTTTACTGTGTCTTTAGAATTTCGGATAGTTATTTAAATGTTTTTGTGTGTGTGTGCATGCAGTTGTTGTTTTGTTTTTTTGTTGTTGTTTTGCTTTGTTTTGTTTTTTTGGAGACAGGGTTCCTTGGTGTTACAGCCCTGGCTATCCTGGAACTCACCCTATAGACTAGGCTGGCCTCGAATTCACAGAGATCTACCTGCCTCTGCCTGCCTGCGCCTGTGCCTGCGGAGTGCTAGGGTTAAAGGCATGTGCCACCACCACCCGGCTAAAGTATGGTTTTATATGTAGGAAACAAATGGCTGCCACATTTAATTGCCTGCAAACCGCTCTTAAACTCATTGAGAGACTCACTGAGCTTTAACATTCACTATTACCATGTTGTAGTGTTTCCTAGGGTGATAGTGGTAAACTACTGTAGGTGTAAAGAAGATTTTGGGTTGTACATCAAAGTAACCCAGGGAACAAAGGGACACAAGCCTTGGTTCTGTTGCTTGCTTTAAGAAGAATGACAACTATGAACCATAAATGTAGAATGTGTTCTTCCTTGGCTGTCTTTCCAGGACTGGTTTTCCTAGCGTGATGGGTGACAGCCGTCTAATCGTTTACAAGGGTGGCTTACTAGTGGGAAGGGGAAATGACAATGGCACTTTCAACTTTTTACTCTTTGTGGGGATGGGTACATTAATCCCTTGTTATTCACGGGAGATCTTTTCTAAGTCCTTTGGATGCCAAAGTCCAAAGTGCTCCGTTCTCCTCCATGTTGTATGTGGGTTAGTGTTTGCATGGCCTATGCCTTCCTATGCACTGTAAACGGTCTGTAAATTAGTTAGCAGTACCTAACATGTGGATATGTTAATAACTAACTGTTTGATTCATAATGTAGTGGAAAGGAAGTCCTAGTATTGTAGGTAAAGTGAGTTTTAGTGAAATTTTCTCATCAATGTGACTTTCCTAGACAGTACTAACCAAGGAGAGACTAGACTTCAGACAGGCTGCTTAGGGAAACTAGGGAAAAATAAAAGAAATAGGCTGTTTCCTGCTCCTGCTTGACACATTTTAGCAGCTTGGTTATGTGAAGGAGTTTATCTGCACTTAGAATAACCAGATAAATGCAGATTTCTGTATGGAATGGCCAGGGCAGTTGATGTTATCATTCCTAGATTCTTACGTGATCCTGCTGTGCTCATGTACTCCAGACCCAAGTATAATTTTAAACTGAGTTATTGGAAATCCTAAAAAAGTTCTGTAATCTACCATTGTACATGTCTTTAAAAGCAAATAGAAGCTGCCTAGTAATCATTGGATTAGAGTTTGTCCTATTAAAATGTGATTTGTTCCATATCTCAAGTGACCTGGCTCCTGTGAAGAAAAGATTTATAACACAATTTGAGTCTGTAGGAAGAGAATATGTAGCTGTTATCAGATGTTACTCGTGTTTTTCAGAATCGGCAGTCTAAGTCCTGAGCAGGAGCAGGGACTGTGGAAACAGAGGTAAGTGTGCTGGTGTGTGTGTGTGTGTGTGTGTGTGTGTGTAGTGCACTGTGAAAATCAGCCCCTCTAACATGATTATTGAGGTGGTCAGGGGTATCTGAGAGGAAGAGTAGCTTATAACTTAGTGCCTCTGTTTTATTCTAATCATTTTTGCTAATGTTTACTTTCAGCCATAAATCCTCTGCAGCAATTCAGAATGAAACTCCAAAGAAAAAGCCCAAATTGGAATCTAAGCCATCTAATGGAGATAGGTAAAAATGAATGCCTTTAGTGCTATGAAAATTGAACTTCATTGAATAGTTCTGGTTGATTACGAATTATTACTACATATTTTATCTGAGAATAGAAACATGGGTCTCACACACCAACTTCTTTAAGTCACCTGGGAGATTACATAATCAGTTAAGAAAAATTTTTAATTTTGGCAATAAGAAAGTGGCACTGAACTATGTTCTTATAAATGGGGAATAAATTTGGGTTTTGAAGAAACAACAAATCTGAGTAGAGAACATTATTGTAATTGTTCTTCAAGGAAAAAAAAAACCACAAATCTGATGTAGTGTTTTTAAATTGGCCTGCTTGGAAATGTTTTGATTTAAACTATGAGGTGTGACTTTGTTTTAGTTCATTAGCCAAGTTTGTTGGTGTTACTGTACAAATTGGCTGCTTTACACTAGAAGTATTGACCCCCTGAAAGCTAATACTGAATTATATTTCTGCAGGTGTATGTAATGTGTGCCATTAGTAAGGTAATTTGCCAGTTGCATCCATTTCTGTCAGGTACATATTTTTTTGCATTAGCTTTAAGGATGTTTGTGGAATTGTCTAATTTATGCAATTTGAACATCTGCAGATTTTCCTTCTACTTTATGTAACTCTGTCTTACTTTTTTCTTTTTAGTAGCTCTATAAATCAGTCAGCAGATAGTGGGGGAACAGACAATTTTGTCCTTATAAGTCAACTGAAAGAAGAAGTCATGTCTCTTAAGCGTCTCTTACAGCAGAGAGACCAGACCATTCTAGAGAAAGATAAAAAGGTGAGGACATAGCCCAGTGACGCCTGGTAAGGTTTGCATCTTGGCTTTAATTAACCCTTGCAAATTTTCTTTAAGTATTTGGTAATGTTTATAATGTATGACCTTACAGGACAAACAACAGAAGCCCAAATTGGGTCTGAAACATCTAGTGAAGATAAGTAAAAATGGTGTATAATAAAAGTCTTGAACATTAGTGTTCATTTAGCATGTAAAGTTAAAACAGGCTTAATATCTTAATTTTAAAATGGGATGTAAGTGGAATATATAAATGATCGTGATTTCAAAAGTAATTGAAAAAAGTATATGTATTGGTCATGTCTCTGTCAATCAGCTGATGAGAGGTAATGATATTCACATGTCCTGTGGTAGTGGTTAGCAATACGTATCTAAGAACATTCTGTAGGAAGTGGTGTACTTACTGACCTTAGTATTTAGCCACATTCAGGATGAGATCCCAATTCTGGCAGTTTCTGTGTGGCCTTAATTAAGCAGGACATGTTCATGAGTTTAGGCCTTGGTTTCTCATTTCATGTATGTACTACACGCTGGTTTTACGTAAGTTAAAGCTTTGTGTACACACTTCCATAAAAAACAAACTTAAAACTTGATGGGACAGCTATGCCGACTGTAGAGTTTCCTGCAGCTCTTGGTAGTGTCCTGATGCTGCTGTATGTCGCATTGGAAGATCATTTACCACATACTTAGGTCCCAGACAAACATCCACTAGGAAAACATTTAAAATTTTTTTGACTGGTTCCTAAAAATCTCTAGTTGTTTATCTGTTTTGTTTTGGTTTTGTTTGTGTTTGTTTTTCCAGACAGGGTATCTTGGTAGCTTTGGAGCCTGTCCTGGTACTCGCCTATGTAGACCATGTAGACCATGCTGGCCTCGAACTCACATAGATCCATGCACCTGCCTGTGCCTCCCACATGCTTGGATTAAAGGCATGCACCACCATTGCCCGGCCTAGTTGTATTAAAAAGGAGAAATGAACACAGAGAAGACCTAGACTCTAAACGGTGCTTGCCATCAGCATAAGAGGGCTCGGATGTAGACGGTGCTTGAGCCCTGTCCAACAGCCATTGCTGCAGCCCCACATTGTGACGGTTGATGCCTTTAGGTTACTGCTCTATGATGTTTTTATTTTTGAAGGAGTGTGTCACTATGTGCCTCTGGCTGTGCTGGAGCCCAGGATCCTCCTGCCTCTTTGTCCTAAATGCTGAGATTAAAGACACGCCCAGCCTCTTTATTTTAGTATATACCACAATTTGAGTAAATACAGTATGTAAAAATTGTTATTGGCATGTAAGGTAAAATTGGACAGTTGTAGCTGTCTTGCTTTTTTTTTTTTTAGGGTTCCTTGTGAGTAGCTGAAGTTTTAAGTTTGTTTTTATGGAAGTGTGTAGACAAAGCTTTAACTTATGTAAAACCAGGTATGTCTATATTAACTTTGAACAAAAGTTGAATAAAATGCCATATTTACTGCAAAATAGCAATAATTCCAAACTAGGCATTACAGATTGTCTGTCAGGATATCTCATCCTTCCTAAAGCAGCAATCCTGTTGTGGTGATCCTCAATCACAAAATTATTTTCGTTGCTACTTTATATCTAATTTTGCTACTCTTAGGGATTATAATGTAAATATCTGTGCTTTCCAGTAGTCTTAGGTGACCCTTGTGAGAGGGTTATTCAACCCACCAAGGGTTTGCAACCTACAGGTTGAGAACCTCCATTGTAGTCTCTATCTCTAGCATCAACATTGTGTTTAGGTAGTTTATTGGCATTTCATGCTTTAGGGTTTCCTTTAAAGACCAAAAACACTGGCAAGTTTATAGTTAGGGTTATAGTAAGGAAAATAATTGTGTATCCAAAATTAACAGCACACTTGCTGGTTTTCTTTATAATTTTAAAAGGATGGAGTTAGTTTCCTGTCCCTGGTTGAGCTACTGAGTGACTTTTCTAAGGTAGGCACTATACTAGGTCAGACGATGTCTCTCCCTTCCAGCAGTTCAGTGTGGAGGCAGATCACGGTTCAGCGACTAGAATAGTTATCAGAGTTGATAGTGAGAATTGCCATTTCAGAACAGAAGCCTGTTTATAATGTACAGCATTGGCCCAAGCTCAGTTTTTCTCTTAGTTTTTGCATCTTTTTATATACTAGGTCTTGGGCTGGAGAGAGAGCTCAGTTGTTTAAGGCTAGGCTCACAACCAAAAATACATACTAGGTACTTGGTAATTAGCACAAACTCTGAAAGCTTACATAATGGCAGAAGCCTGAAGCTGTTTCTGTGTGGTACATTAATAGCAACTTAGGTTGTAATTTGAAGTCATAAAGTGCTACAATTTTGTGTCCTTATCTGTGAAATCATTGTTGTGTGGCCTCTGCCTCTCTACTCCATTGGATTTTCACTTTTCTGACTTGGTTCAGATTTTATAGCAGTTACTTCCACATGCCACATTGATTGCATTTCTGTGCTGGAAGGTGAATGTAGTGTGACAGCTTTGTGTATATAACAGTGGGTGCCAGTGAACAGTGACAAACGCTGTTGCCCGTAGCTGTTGAGTACATTTGCACGTTAGGAAGCCTTTTTCCTTTCATCACTGAAAGATTTTTTAACTGGGAACCTGTTTACTTAATGGGAAGTGTATTCAGTTGAAACACTCTCCAGGACACGAGCCACTAATGTTGCTTTGGCATGCTCCTTGTGAAAGTGTGACCATTTAGTCCAAAGTCACCCCATGGTTAAAACCCTGACAGGAGGAGGGAAACAGCTGGTACCAACTTCTTCCACCCGCAGCAAGGGTGCGCCTGTTGGTGTTTGTATGAGGGTCGATGCTCGTGCACATGAATGCCTTTTTTCCTTTTCAGTTAACTGAACTGAAGGCAGACTTTCAGTACCAAGAATCAAATTTGAGGACGAAGATGAACAGTATGGAAAAAGCTCACAAAGAAACTGTGGAACAACTTCAGGTAAATGGTTTTATTTCTGTGAGGTGTCGTACTGGGCTGGTGATTTAAGTCTGTATTGTAGTATTTCTTGACCTAGGTAAGTTGGTGTTATTATTAACCCTACCTTGTGTATCTCCAGTTAATTCTGACTTTATAATAAAGTTTTGAGAAGGTGACTCACTGTTAATGTGAAAAGCATGTAAGCACTAAGTGGGAGTCCCAGAGAGCAGTGACTGTCCAGCCAAGGTCAGAGTGTCCCTTACAGTGCTGTACTAAAAAAATGTGCTCTATACTTAGATACTCATTCTTCCGATTTCATTTAGGATGACTGCACGAGAGTAGATGACTGAAACCAGTTCTCAAAGCCTCTGATCAAAGGGCCTTTATGCTGTGTGCAAGTGCTGCAAATTAAGTTGGCCTTTGACTGTGTACTCTCTGAAAGTGTACTAGGTTCACAGTTGCATTTAATATGGATATATATAGTGCACATGTGACGTGTTCTTCAGCCATATAAAACTGAACAGTGAAGCTGCTCAGATAGTGAGCATCAGCATGTTCCCTTACGATTGTGTTTTTACCTGTTTTACAGATTGGGGCATGAAACTGTACTGCACTGGTTTCTTGTGCGGTTTATAAATTGTGGTATTTATAGAGTTAATCTTTGAGTAATAGGAGTATGGTTGTTCCTTTTGTTTAGTGCTCTACCCTAAGCTTAGTCCCTAGGTTAAACAATCTTAAGCATACAGATGTCCTTTTCAGCCTTCAGACATGAAGGGAGAGTTCATCTTTGAAAAGGATGTGTGAATACTGCTGTATTTGTTATGTTTTGTTTTCTGCTGGATTTTTTTCCCTAACACCCATAGATATTTTCTGTCCCAATCATGGTTTGGTGTGTCTCACAATTGAGTAGGATTTATGTACTCACTGGGGTCCAGATGTGTATTTCCTGTTCTTCCCAGTGACAGGGTATTGAAAAGGGTCCTCCTCCTCTTGTGCGTTAGTGAACTGTTTTTATCCACCAGCCATTATTTTGTTTTATTCTTACTAAGTTATGTTGAATGTTTACCTGGGATATAATCAACCTTCTTTAACTGAAGTACTGCAGTAAATCCTTCTAAGTTATAAAAATAACCATGATAATGGTAAGTACTTCTAGGTTTCATTAACCTGGTATGTACTTCCCACTGCTCGAAAGAACAATCCCCTTTGTTAAAGTCAGTTGCAAAAGAACCGTTTTTACGTTAGCCTGGTTGGTGTCTTTAGCTTACTTCCGATGCTACCATTGAGGCAAACGTTCACACAGAATGGGGGTGTAGTCAGTGGGTTTTGTATATGCTGTCCATATTTGCTCCTTAACAAGAGCTTGTTATGAGCTGCTCCCGTCTTGCAGGTGAAACTGGTTACGTAATTAGTAGAATACTTACATTGTGTGCTTCCGATTTTCCTGTCCTTTCCCCGTCCGTCCTGCATCTGCTCACACCCCAGGCTATTCGAGTGTCTCCGTATCCTTGTTATCAACACTGAGTTTCTGCTAGAGACACTGTTGCCTCTCGTTAGTGCCTGGGTAATTATCGTGTCTGTTTGGTTTGTTTGTTTTATTTTTGAGGCAGTGCTTCACTGTGTAGCCCAGTTTGGCCTCCTTCAGCCTCCAAGAGCTTGGATTTGTCCCTTTACACCTGTTTTCTTAATCTTTTTGTAGTATACAGAAGTTGGTGTTTAACAAAATTTACCTTGCTCTAATAGCTCTTTAAATACTTTAAACTATCAAACCCAGGAATACAGACTGAAATCCATCCCCCAAATGATGAAAGGTCTTCCTATGTCCCAATAATGCCAAGTGAAAACTGTTCTTTAGTAAGGAAAGCTAAAAGGGGAAGGGAAATGGCCTTCGAGTGCTGTTGTGTCCAGCCACTGCACTGTGGCTGTGTGATTAGCTCTTTCAACTGCCTGAGCCTCTTGTTTGGGGTGAGGTGTCCTCGAGTAAAGTGTGGGTAAGTACATAGGCAGTGTCTGTGTAGTTACTCATTGAATACACTTCCTTTATGTAGGCTAACATTTTAACTGTTTCTGACTTAAGTATTAAAATAATTTCATTGGTTTCTATAAAGTCAGTACATATACATTTAAATACTGCATTACAATTTATATTGCAACGACTTAAAATAAGACTGATGAAGTTAAACAGCCAACACACTATTTTTCTTAAAGCCTTTGCGTTCATATACTTTATCAACAAGTTACTGATGTCATTAGGAGACTATAAATACATATTGAAAATTAGCTGCAAAAGTTTTAAAGAGAAAAACTTTCAAGACCCACTTTTATTTTTAGTTCCTGCATTTTGTTGTAAGAATGAAAAATGTAAATTAAGTTTCACTTGATGATTGAAAGTGGAGTTGTAATTATCTGGTAAGCCGGTGTAGTAGATGCCTGTCAGTAACTGCCTCTGCTGCCCTTCCTTACTCCTGGCTCTGAAACTTGTTTCTTGAGTTTCCAGGTTTTAGCCAGTAGGTCTGTTGTGATTAAATAATACATAGCCACACTGTTACTGTTCACTTCTGACAGTGACTAGGATTTGTCAGAGAGTAACAGTTTAAGCTTATGAGTAGTGGGGGCAGCCTTCCTATGTCTGAGGATGTATTTTATGGTTGTGTTGGTTCTTAGTAGTGCCCAAGCTCCATACTTCAGCGCTGTCCTGAACGCTGTGTACGTGAGGACCCTTCATTATCTAAGTTCCCAGAGAGGGCATAGAGTAGCACAAACCCGATAATGAGAAGAGGCTCGGTGAAGGTCCTTCCTTCCTGTAGACCCCCAGCACAGTGACGTCCGTGAAGGTCCTTCCTTCCTGTCGACTCCCCAGCACAGTGACGTCAGGGCAGCCCTGCAGTGGTGACCAAGCCTTATATAGTCGGGTGGAAACTCAGACCTTAGACAGCGGTGATGTTAGGACTGTGCTTAAAACGATGCTGAAGTCATCTCGCTCACAAGAAAGGACCAACTAGAATGATTTCCGGGACCCACATGGTAGGAAGAGGGAGTGGATCCCACAGTCTCTCCTTTGATTTTTCACATGCATATTGTGGCCTGCACATACACACATACATGCACACAAGATAAGTAACAATGTTTTTTCAAGAAGGGCCTTTGGCAAATGATAGAGTGATTTTCACAAATGGTCTTATACTTTTTCTGCGTAACAGTAAACAGCAAATGGAAGACCTCATTCAGTTTGCTGGAAAATTCTCCAGAATAAACATTTGATTCATTCTTTGATGTTCAAGTTGTAGAATAACATGATGCATTTCGGTAGCTTTCATACTCTAAAGAATCAAATGTTTTTTCTCATTTTAAATTTGAATCCTCTAGGGAGAGAACCGTGTGCCATTTCTTGTGTAATTAACTGTATTTTTGGACAAATTATATCGACATTTGCCAGGAGCTCTTTCTACCTATCTAACCTTAAAAGATTAAATAAACTACCTCTTGGATCTCTTAGTATTTCGTTGATAAAAAATTTTACACAAATGGAGTAGTAGTATTAAGTAGTGGTTTCAAACGTTTTAAACCTTGAATTTTTGTTTCTCACAGGCCAAAAACAGAGAACTACTCAAACAGGTTGCAGCCTTGTCAAAGGGTAAAAAGTTTGACAAGAGTGGAAGTGTGCTAACGTCTCCTTGAAAAGGTCTCTCGTTTAGCATCTCTGCTTGACAGTGTCTGTTTGAGGCGTCCTGTGAAGCCCTTGAGCTCTGTGCAGTGGGAAATATTTTTACATGCCAAGGAAATTGGTGTGGTTCCTATTCACTTTTGTATTGACACTCGCAGCATTTTTTAAGTTGTAAACATACAGATAAAACTTCAGCTGGTTTGGAGTGACTTCTTAATTCTTTGATACCTAGAACTTTTTCTAGCAATAGTATTAAAGATTGTGGGGTGCACGTATGCGCACCGTATGCAATGCAACATGCAATAATGGAGTGCTTGGAAGAGCAGCCGCAGGGGTTGTGTTCTGCTTTTGTTTAACCTGATGCTGATTTCAAATAAATAGTTTTCAATTTAGAAATGCAAAACTTTTCAACAAGGGAAATGGTGAATACTGATTTTTGGGGAATTGTATTTTTACTTCGCATCAACATGAATTTAGAGAATCATGGTGCTTTTATTACAAGAGCTTCAGAGTATATGTGAATATGTTTTTAAAAGTTACATCGCTAACACTAGTGTAGTAATCCAACATTTCATTGCTGTTACAGGGTTGACGTTTACTGTACAGCATCCAAGGTAAAATGTGTTTTTGTTTTGTAAAAACTGTAGATTTTTACTTACAAGTGCCTTTTGCCACCTAATGTTTTTATTTATAGGAATGCTGATTTTTTTTGTACATATGGTTTGTTTAAAAATCATGTTAATAAGTATTTGTATATAAGTGCATATGTACAGAACCCAATCTCAAAAAGAAATCACTTAGTAACATACAAGATTGCATATTAAAATTAACTGATGATGCATATAGACTTAAGTGATTTTGTGGTTTGTTTCTGTATCATAAGGGAAGCTGTTGGTCATTGAGTTCATTTAATTATGTTGAAATACTTTCCTAAAGATTTAATTTTAACTCCATTTTGATAGAGTGATTTTATTTTTATGTTGTGTGGCTTCATGTTTATATTTTGTGAGTTACATGTTTTGCTTTATTTTTATATAAAATTTCCTTTAAGATTTATAATGTTTCTATAACGGTTCCTATATCTGCTTCTTTTATAATGTGTTGCTAAGTTAATATTTATGTACACCACACTTACTTTGTAAACTTAATACAAATCTGGAAAATTAAATAACTTTATAATCAAATCCATGCCTATGTCTGAATAATTGAAATCTATATGATTCAGACGCTATTTATAAGTAATTTGTTTCAAAGTATAAAATTGTCTATAACGATTATAGTGGTATGGAATAGATTCTGTGAAATTACAAAATTAGATTCTGAACTTTGGTGGTTTTCAGCCAGTAACCGAAATTGATCTGCTTAATGTTAGTTCTGGTTTCAAGGTGAATTTTAAAACTAAAGGCATTGCTAGAAGCAACGTGTGACTTCTTTTAGAAATATACAGTTAAACTTGTTTGAATCAGTCTGAAGGGTTTGTGTTTAGATAAATGTTTATATGGTCTTCATATCAAAGATTAGTGTTTTTATGCGTACATAATTATAACAATTCTTTTTCATTCGTTCAAGTTTTAGTAAACTTCTCATAGTTGTTTACTACAAGGGAAAGCAAATCTAACAATTTGCAAACACATAATTTTCAAGTAACAGTAAGATTGAATTAGATTTGGAAAAAGACAGTCTGTTGTTATGAGGCCCTCACAAATAATGTTAATTTATTGTTCTCACCCATAGTAGATAATGCCTTAATGTGGATGCTAATGTTTTGAGAATTTGCATTCATAAAGTAGTCATTCCTTTGCTTTAAATTTTGTAATGATTTATATTACAGTTTCCTGGCCATTTTTCAATCCACAGTAGTCACAGATTTTTCTAAATGAACTATAGTAGTTCTTATACGTTGTTGGAGATGACAGACATGGAAATTGAGAATCAGTTTAAAATAGTGAAGCTTTGTGAAGTGAAAGGCTAAACCCTAAATTTAGGGGGCTCACAGTATTCCGTCCTAATAAGACAAACTCTTTATTCTATGACCTTATTTTATAACTTAATTGTTTTGCAATTGTATAAGTTAGTAATTGAGTCTCAGTCCCAGATATGTAGTGTGTTGGCCTAATGAGTTGATACCTTTTAAATGTGGACACGTCCAGAGATACTATGGTGTGCTGTATTGTACTTTTAGCCTGTCTGCTGCAGTTAGCATATCCCAGTGAGGGTCATTTGGGATCCAGTTTATCATGTATTAATAGCCTGTGAATATTATGGTCATCTTTAGAGTGTATTGGTCTAAATATGCATTTTACAATGAACCTGTTAATGCTGGTCACATGTATAAATTAACAAAATATTGTACCTGTACACATCTGACTGTTGACATTTTGTACTTTTTTTCTAAGCCCAATATTTCACAATAAAAATTTGCCAAAAAGCTTTGTGTTAATTCTGCTGTAACGAATTAACTATATTTTGGGTGTTGAACAAACACATCTGCAAAGTCACAGTTGTCCAGTAGGGTGCCATATTTCCAGGTGTAGGAATCTCATTGTAAACATTTTGGGGCGAGGCATTATTATGCATACTCCAAGGTTCATGGTTTTCCAAGAAAGTCCTACCACAGTAGATATGAGAGAAATGATTGGGACTGGACATTAGAAGAATATCCTATGTGGTTCCTTCTGCCTTAGTGAGATGGGTAAACCAATCTGAATATAGCAGTATAACACAACATAGAAAATGAAAGTAATGTGTTGAAACATTGAATGTGTTTATGGATGTAATTAAGCTTCAGAGAAGCACAAAACTAGAGTAGTGATTGTTCACCATTGACAAGTGTAGGGACTAATTCATTATTTTGAACACTGGTATTATTTTCACCCACTAGACAAATAGACTAAAGGCAGTTTTTCTTGGGGGGAAAGTCCACTTAATGCTAAAACTTAAGGTGGAATAATGATGTCTTGGTGTTGCAACTTGCAGTAGAGAGAGCACATTGATGCAGTTGTTTGTGCTGGAGAAACACTCCCTATGAAGAGCTGCCCAGTTGGTAGACTTGGCTTCTTTCAAACTAGCAGGAAATAGAGCCCAGGGTCAGGGTGAAAGACACACCAAAAGGATATGATTGGCACTGGTGGTGGTGGTGGTGGTGGTGGTTGTGGTTGTGGTGGTTGTTTTAAGGGGGATGAAAGCAACGGAAATGGAACCTGAGGCGTTGAAAACCCAAATCAAATTTGTGGCCCTCATTAATGTGAATCAAACTTTAAAAAACGTTTAAGCAATTTATACAATAGGGGGATTTTCATCCTCATTACTTTCAGTATGACTGAAGGACCATTATTTTTCTGGTGTAATAATGGTTATAATTACTCTTTACAAGGCTTTGTGACACCTAAATTAAATGCTCGGTTTTGATTCATCTCATGGAGAGAGATGGATTCGAATATAAATCAGGATTGCTTGAGCTGCTGCTTTTAGGTGAATGATGTACAAATTACTGTCCCAATTTTGCGATGCATCTTTTTTGTAAAAACAAAACAAGCAAACAAACAAAAGGCAATGCAAACAGGACATTGTACATGCCTGTAATCCTAATACTTGAGAGACTGAGACAGGAGAGTCACAAGATTGAGACCAGCCTGGCCTGTGATGAGGCCCTGTCTCAAATTATACTCTGTGTTCATTGAAGGAGGGAAACATGAGCAGTATTCAGTTCAAGTGAGTAAGGAAAAAGAAAGTCGCCAGCACTCCAGGTTGGCCCTCATGGTTTGGTTCTGCTCACTTGTTCCCAGTGATGTCTGAGTAATGGCAGTTGTGGTGTGCACTGTGAGTCTGGTTCCCGTTCCTCCTTCCTAACAAAAGAAGTCAGAGCTGCAAAACGACGCACGGCTGGGACCGGAGCTCTGTGGTGGAGCACAGCCAATCGTTTTCATGAGCTGCTTGCAGATCTGCATGCACCAGATTATTGCAGGGAGTGCAGTCGGCAAAGGATCGTGCTGCCGAGGGAAAGATGGAAATGTGTGACTGCCAAGTTCAGGGTCCCAACTTCACAGCTGCCTGTGTCTCCTGCCTCGTTCCTGTGTAGTTCCCCCTCGTCTCTTATATTGAAGGGTTGGCGGTATTCAGGCCTCCATTCCGTGTCTCTTCAAATTTTAAAACAGTACTCATTTCCTAGTTTGTTAAGTGTTACCTGTAAGTCTAGTGTTGTGTAAATGTGTAATAGCAGACCAGATCCATCTTCATTTCCACACTATTTCAGTACTTCATGGCAACTCTGTTTACCGTGTGTGTGTGTGCGCGCGCACGTGTGTGTGTGTGTATTCTCACGCACACGTGGACACCTATGCCGCAGTGCATGTGAAGGTGAACGCTCTGCTTGTAGGAGTCAGCTCTCTGCTACTGTGAGTCCTGGGATTTGAACTCAGGCCATCAAGCTTGGTAACAAGCACCTTTACCTGCTGAGCCATCTTGCCTATCCAAGCCTTGTATTTAATGTCCAGAATTGTGTCCTAGTGCTTAACTATGCCTGTGACTCCCAGTCAGAAAGCAGCCAGACCCATCCCTTCTTTATGTCCTCACCGTAGATGGTGGAAAGGTAATTCAGTTTCCCGGGGCGCAAACCTTCAGTAATGTCCTGGACTCTTTCCTCTCTCGCTCTCAGTCCATGTCTAACTTCACAACAGAACCAGAGCTTGGCTGCTCCTCTCCCCCCACCCCCCTGTTTCCTCCTATGTTACTTGGCTCTACTCCATTCTCAGATTGAGTCTATTGGATGAGGTCATCTTATCTCCGGCTTCCAGTGGTTTCTTTTTTGAAGTGACCCTTCCTGGAGACATTTTTTATAATCAGGGCAGGTGGGATTGGAGAGGGGCTGCCCCTGAGATCAAGTGAGAAAAGGTTTGCCCACCTGCAGTGCACAAGCCTGTACACCCATACCTGTTAGTAAGGGCTGCTGCAAGCCTGTACACCCATACCTGTTAGTAAGGGCTGCTGCAAGCCTGTACACCCATACCTGTTAGTAAGGACGGCTGCAAGCCTGTACACCCATACCTGTTAGTAAGGACGGCTGCAAGCCTGTACACCCCATGCCTGTTAGTAAGGGCTGCTGCAAGCCTGTACACCCCATGCCTGTTAGTAAGGCCTGCTGCAAGCCTGTACACCCCATGCCTGTTAGTAAGGGCTGCTGCAAGCCTGTACATCCCATACCTGTTAGTAAGGGCTGCTGCAAGCCTGTACACCCCATACCTGTTAGTAAGGGCGGCTGCAAGCCTGTACACCCATGCCTGTTAGTAAGGGCTGCTGCAAGCCTGTATACCCCATACCTGTTAGTAAGGCCTGCTGCAAGCCTGTACACCCCATGCCTGTTAGTAAGGGCTGCTGCAAGCCTGTACACCCATACCTGTTAGTAAGGGCTGCTGCAAGCCTGTACACCCATACCTGTTAGTAAGGACGGCTGCAAGCCTGTACACCCATGCCTGTTAGTAAGGGCTGCTGCAAGCCTGTATACCCCATACCTGTTAGTAAGGACGGCTGCAAGCCTGTACACCCATGCCTGTTAGTAAGGACGGCTGCAAGCCTGTACACCCATACCTGTTAGTAAGGGCTGCTGCAAGCCTGTATACCCCATACCTGTTAGTAAGGACTGCTGCAAGCCTGTACACCCCATGCCTGTTAGTAAGGGCTGCTGCAAGCCTGTACACCCCATACCTGTTAGTAAGGACGGCTGCAAGCTGGGCTGGAGCTCACCTGACCTAGTGCACCTTAGTTTAGTAGATTATTGGAATTGAGTCTCACACTTTCCCAGACCAACTACGGGATGAAGGCCGTGGCTGGTCTCCACTTGTGGAGAGGACTTAATCTTAAATAGTGGCTTCTCATCACATTCTCAGTGGAAAGTCAAGGCAGCCGGCCTCTCGTGTCTAAGGCATGATCTAATGACATTTCCTCTCTATTTACCGTCATCACTTGGTGATCCAGCAGAGGAATTTTAGAACAAATAGAAACTCCTCTAAGCCTGAAAATGGATTTACATCTTGTATCTTCAATAGCCTAAAGACTATTAAACAACCTGTACAAAGCTATAAATCATTGGCCCACTACCCCTCCATCTTAAAATTGTGTGCATACTAAGAGGAAGTGAAGAATCTTGGTAAGGTTTTAACCTTTTTATTAAAATTCCTACTAATGTCCACAAGAGGGAGGACTCTGCTATAAAACTGTGGCAGCCCAGCCCTTGGACCCTTTGTGGCTACATCCAGCCTCTCTAGGTAGTTTGTAGTCTTGGTTGTGAGCCTAGCCCTAAGTGCTGAGCCACCACCAGCCCTCTAGTTACATACACTTGAATGCTTGGTTACGTGTGAGAATACATTTCCAGTTTTAGTTAAGTCCATCATACCTGTTCTCACTGCACTTGAGGGCAACACGGTAGATTAGGAGATAGCAGTCCTGAATTAGAAGCTGTCTGTCTCCAACGAAGACAGTGCGTCCTGGGAAGATGTGCACAGCTAGTGAGTGAATGCATCGCTGCTCTTCTGTGGCTGCAGCACAGTGCCGTATACAACACACCACACAACTGTGCAGCTGTGAACGCCCCCCATGCCTTCAGTCTCTACCCAGTCAGAAGTGCTTTCAGTTAAGCTCTCACATGCTTAAGATCAGCGGTTTCTCAGCCTGTGGGGCTCAGCTGGCCCCTTTGGGGGCCAAACATCAGATACTTATGATTCATAACTAGCAAAATTAACACGTCACTGCATTGGAAAGGGTGAGAACTATTGCTTTGCATGGTCCTTAAGGGAGGCTACTTGATTCGTGTATTTCAGGTGACAGGCTTTTCTGTGTCTGATAAGTGAAGCTGTACATTGCTAATAGGACAGTTTGGGAAACCAGGGATCTTACAGGCTGGCTGTTCAGCTTCTGTCGTAAATTCTTGTATTGATAATCTTCAATGCAGCTCAAAAAAATTGTATCTTTTTTGCCATGTGGAAATCTGACAAATTTCGGTGTAGGCAGACTTGCCTTCCAAGTGTGTCAGTTTTCTTTGTCACATGAAATTCTTAACAATTTTTGAGTGAATATCCAATGTTATGGAAGTACTGGACCAAATGTTTTAATGTGTTAGCACCCTGAATAATATGTTGCGGCTTTCTGAAAAATAATGAGTGAAACCCCAAATACGGGGTGGAACAGATCTGAAAATAGAGCCATGGCGATGGAGCCATGGAGATGGAGCCATGGAGATGGAGCCATGGAGATGGAGCCATGGTGCTTTGCTCTCTAGTTTCTAGAGTGCCTTGTGCCTTACTCATGACTTTTTGCCTTATGTTGCTATATGTATGTATGTATGTATGTATGTATTGAATTTATATTCCTAATTCCAGTGTTAGTTTACACATCTCTTCCAATGTTTCCAGCAGTTTCTCAGCCCAGCTCCTAGCA